CTGGGGGAGGACTTTTTAGAGGAAGGGTTTGAGGCAGCCAGGCCACACCCCTTGGAAGTGGGTCTCACTGCCTGCTCACACCTTCTGTCCCTCAGTATCCCATGTTCCGAGCGCCTCCACCACTGCCTCCTGTGTACTCCATGGAGACAGAGACCCCCACGGCAGAAGACATCCAGCTTCTGAAGAGGACAGTGGAGACAGAGGCTGTGCAGGTGGGAGGGCCCTGGGGTGAGGGTTGGAGGGAGGAGCAGAAATAGTAGATCTGGAAGGAAAAGGAGATTAAGAGCAGCAGAACCAACACACAGAAGAAAACAGGGATCTCCTTGGAAATTAGCTACTAATCTTTATCTTCCCGTTCTCCACACACAGATGCTAAAGGACATCAAGAAGGAGAAAGTGCTGCTCCGGAGGAAGTCAGAGCTGCCCCAGGATGTGTACACCATAAAGGCACTGGAGGCGCACAAGCGGGCAGAAGAGTTCCTGACTGCCAGCCAGGAGGCTCTCTGACCCCCTTTACCTCCCACAGGGCCACAGCCCACTCAACAACCCTGGACGCCGGCCCGGCCCTCCACCCTGTGCTCCCTCCAGCTGACTCGGGGCAAGGCAGCACCTCTAGTTACCCTGGGGGATGCCGGCACTTGAAGCAGGGATACCCAGAGTGGGCCCGCTTCCCAAAACGTGTTCATGCCTCCATGTGGCTACTACAGACAGGGTGAGCACCAGTCTCAGTGCTTGGACAACGTGGGGATGCCTGTGCCCCTCCTGCTCCTGACCCCACAGCTCCCCTGAGGCTGCTCTGAGAAACAGGAATACATACCCTCCTCTTCCCCCATCCTCCTCTGAACTCTCTGCGTAGCTCTCCGCCTCTCTGTCCCCTGCAGAGGCGTGCAGGGAGCAGCAGGACATTATTCTCACCAAAGTTAGGCAAGCTCCATTGGCCCCTGGAGTGAGAAGCTGGAGGGTACTGACCCCCAGCAGCACAAATAGGCTCCCAGCCCCCACAGCGTGCAGGCTAATGGGGCTGAATTATCTCCCCCACCCCACCCCTGCCTGACAGACAGCAGGGGTCAAAAGGATAAAAGTATATAGGCCATGGACAAGAGATGAATACAGGGCCAGCTGGACCATGGCTGGGGTAGGGGGCAGGGGATGAGCAGACTCCCTCCGCGCTGCCCTTCTAAGGCAAGCAGCAGCCCTGGGGATCACAAACATGGAAGGGACCACCCTGCGGCTGACTGCTTTCCTGTGCTGTTAGTTCCCAAAGCTAGAAAGAAGGAAGCAGGGAGCAGTGCCCCAAGCATTGCTCCCCTGATACCTATTTATTTCCTTGTTTATGAGGATGCTAGGCAGCCCCTCATGTGTCCCCTTTAGACACTTTAAAAGGGGTAAGGGGCTGGGGAGGGCTGGACCCAGGTCCCAAGGGTACAGGCAGTGCGGCTTTTGGCTCTGTACATAGGGTGCTTTATTCTCCAGAGTGATACATGCTAAGGTGCGTTGGGCTTGGGCCGATGTCCCCATATGTATAGAATTGAATAAAGTGGGTCTCTGAGCAGAAGTCTGATTTGCCTTGATGTGAAGGGAAGAGAGTGGGAAGGAGGAAGATGGACATTACAACCAGAGAGGTGTTCAGTCCTGTGCTGGTTCTGGTCTGGAATGTAGGGAGATAAGGCAGCTCTCAGTGTGGTCACTTCCAGGCTGGAGGTGCCTGCCGGGCTTGGAGGGTTTTCTGTACCACATCTTCCCACTGGGCATCCGATATCTCCTGAGCCCAGGCAGGAACCCCTGGTGCAGGTAGGCTTACTCCAGCCATTGTCCTTTTCACCAGCTCCACGTGTTCTGAAATCATAGCCACAGGCTGATTAGGCAGTGGCAACAATGGGACCAGACCTTGTCATTCCTTGAACACAAAGTCCTGGACTGGTGGTCACCAAGTCCATTTTGATAATCCGTAGGCATGTCTGGTCCACCCTCAAGTCACAGAATAGCAATTCTGGATTCTGAGGTCTGTAAAACCTTAGTTTACAAAGTACCTTTCTAGGAATAAGGTGTTTCTCTGAAACTTCCCGCTCCTGGCTCAGGCCAGTGCACTTTATCATGATTCCTGAATAAAAGCAGATGTTTTTTACCTGGGTCCATGGGGATGGAACTATGGCTGCTCAGTGCTGCGGCTCCCTCCTCATCTTCGTCCTCACTCTCTAATGGTGGCTCTGGCAAATGAAGCCCCAGGGCCTGCAGAGCCAGAGAGAAGGCAGCTTGGGTCCAGCCTTTTGGGGAGTCACCTGCTCAGGAGTAATTCCCCCTCCAGCATACCTGGATCCGATCCTGGATGTCAGCAACCACATCTCCGTCCCCTACGGGTGCCAGCTCCACCTCCTCAGGTTCAGGATCTTGGTTCAGCGGCTGGTAGGAGTAGCCAGCCGGGCCTGCCCCTGTGTCCTCCTGCTCCTCCTCGGGGTCCTCACTGCTCCAATCCCCGGTGCCTTCTGCAGGGCCTTGGTGTGGCCCCAGGTCCTCGCTTTGGTTGGGGAAGATACGCTCGGGGCCCATGGTGTCTCCCTTTAGAACTGCTGCTGCCATGCGGGCTGGGGCTGTAAGAACGGGGTAGGGACCGGATGAAACCAGCCCACCTTCATCCTTTCGTCCACGAGACCAGCACCACTCACGGTCCACGCATCATCTTTACGCCTTTCCCTCAGTCTCTCTTCCCCGCTCAAGTCGGGGGCTCCTACACAGACCTTAGCCCTAGCCGCCTCGTTCCCCCAAGTCCTAAATCCACAGCCCAACCCAAAACTCCAGCACCCACTCTGCGACGCCCCCCATTCCAGAAACCCAGAGCCCCGCCACGCCCCTCCGATCTCGAGAATGCGGGGTCGCCGACTCCCCCTGCCAAGGCATCGCCGCTCCTCCCGGCTCCCCTCGGTACAGGCCGGCGAAAGCGCCTCAGGCCCGGTAGCGACGTCCCCGTCTGCCCCCACCGACTCTCGGCAGCAGGGTCCCCGAGGGCCTCACCCTTTCGCAGCCCGAGGCCCGACCCGCACCTTCACTTCCGGCCCGCCGAGACGCGCAGGGACTCCGGGTCCTCCAGCCCCGCCCCGTGTCCCTCACTGACGCAAGTCAGGACAAGAAGTCCACCCCTTGCCCCGCCTCTGCCATCCCCGGCTCAGATAACAAAAGACTACATTACTCAGTGATCCCCGCGCTCCTGACATAGCTCTGCACATGCGCAGAATCTCTACATAGGGTCCGGCGCACTCCTCAGCCCTTTCGACCCGCCTCCGGAAACCTGTGGACTACAAGTCCCAGGAGGAGCCAGGCTCCAGGAGGTCGGACCGCGCGCGTGCACTCCTAGCTGCCCGCCGGAAGACTGAGACTGGCTGTGTTTATCTCGTTGGAGACCTAGGCGTCGGTTGGCACGCCACGGGTTCTAGGCTGCAGGCAGTGCGAGGACCCGCGACCCCACCCCGGCCCGGCCTGGCAAGGTAGCCTAGGAGGGATTGAGGGGCAAGAAAGAATTAGGGGGGCTGGTGACCCTCTTGCCTAACGCTGTAGTCGTGGGGGAGGGGCCCGAGAGTGATGCTGTGGGGGTGGGAAGGGACCGGGGGATGACGGGAAAGGAGAGTGCTAATGGGGAAGCGAAGGGTTTGGGAGGATGGTGGGGAGACACTTGGGTGAGACCTGGTGCCTGGAGCAGGCAATGAAGGAAATTGAGGGAAGGCTGGGTTGTGAGGGGGACGAGGAAGCTGAGCATAATGGAAGAGTGAAGTGTGTGTGGTGATGGGGGAGGCTCAGCAGAGAGAAGAGAGCGATGGGATCATATTCAGGGAAGAATATCCGTGGCTGAAAGAGGACAGTGAATTATTAGTTTTTCTTCCTTTCGTGGAGGTAGAAAAATGGATGTTTCTTGGGTGGATCTGGGAGTTGTAGGAGAAGGAGAAATGAGAATACTGGAAAGCTTCCAGATTAAGAAGAGCCACAGAGGGGGATCAATACTTTAAGGGAATAGAAGCAGCTTGAAAGTGCCATAAGGATAGAGGATTGGGTAGACCCAGATTAGAGGAGCCCCTGAGACCCAGGGGCTTGCTCTTCTGGAGTCTGAGTTGTCCTTATGGAGGAGAAGCTAAGATGCTTTGTCCACCTTTGGTGGCATTGCTTGTGTCTACTGTGTGAACTTCTTGCTTTACCTGGCCGTATCTGAAGGGCAGGTAGAGGCTGTGGGGAAGATGAAGGACTTCGCTTTTTAAGCCTTTCACCTGTCTTAAGTGCCCCCACAAGCCCAGGTCCAGCATACTTTGGATTGAGAACTGGAGTAAGGAATCGAGAGTAGCTTCTGGCTGGGGCTATTTCAGGTTGGGCAGGATGGCTATTTAAAGCTGGGGTGCGGGGTTGGGGGATGTTGGATGGGTGGGACTGGCAAACCGGCTGAAAGCCATGTCTCCTTCCTACAAGGGGCCTCCCTTATTTGAGCTTTTTTTTTTTTTTTCTTCTGTGCCTGGGCTTCTGCCTAGTTCTTCTGTTTGCCAAGCTTTTTGAACAGGGAGCAGATGATCTGCCCAAACCCAGCAGGTGCCTGCCAGCAGAGGCACTGCCAGTTGCAAAAGGGTTTGCCTGAAAGAGCCTTCAAATTATCACCAAGTTGGTAGGTTGTCTCTTAAGAGACCGTGAGCTCTCTTGCCTGGCTCTTTCTTTTTGTCCTGCCCTAGGGCATTTTTGCTTCCCTTCTCCTTCCAGCACACACCCTACCCCTGACTCCCTTTCAGGGGCCCAAGTAGGGGAAGAACTGCTGGAAATGGCTTATTCTCTACCACACAGTGTTGGGGAAGTGGCAGGAGGAGGAAACCTCTTTCCCTACCCCCAGACCTAGCATACACATACCTTCCTGGCTTAAGTTTCCAGTTCTGGCAGCATACCAGGCACAGCTGTCAAAGGAACTCTTCATGCCTGTGGGGGCCCTGGGTGACCCGAGGGACAGCGGCTCAGCTTGACAAGAACTCCCTGTGAGGGCATAATCAACTGTGGTAATGGGGTTCCCTGACCTGGGTAGGGGCACTGCTCTACTCTAAAAGCTTTTTTTACTTTAAAGCACCCATGCCAGCTTTCAATGGGCTGGCCAGGCCTGGCCGGGCTATTAATAGCTATGTGTATTTTGATATCCCCACCTTTAAGAGCACAGAGATTCTTAGAGAGGTGGCAGACAGCAGAGCCAGAGACAAGGGAGCACACCCGCCTAGGAAGGGGGCTTAGAGCTTGTTCCAAACCAAGGAGAGGGTGGAGCTGCATGAGTGGGGTGGGGGCCAACCATGATCACCAGTGTCTGAGCTGGCAATCAGGTTGAGGCAGCCCCATCTTTTGTTGTGGGAGAGCATAGGGCCCAGGATTGCTCCTTGACCTTACTAGCTCCCTGGGATCAGGGCCAGCCATCTGAGCTAACTAGTGTCCCTGTGGAGGGGTGGTGTGGGAGGCACACTAGGGTGACACTTAGAGGTGAAGGCTGGTCCTGGGCAGTCTTGGTGAGCTGGCCAGAGGCCTTGCCTGAGGAGCCCGTGGCCCTGATTGTAAGCAGGTACCAGAGGCAGCAGGCCGTGCCGGGGGGGCATGTTGCTGTGACCAGTGGCCCAGGGGATGTTACGGTGGACGGTACATCTGGAGGGAGGGCCACGCAGGGTGAACCATGCTGCAGTGGCTGTTGGGCACCGAGTATACTCCTTTGGGGGTTACTGCTCTGGTGAAGACTATGAGACGCTGCGACAGATAGATGTTCACATTTTCAATGCAGGTAAACAAATGCTGTCACTGTCCCTGGGTGTCCACGGCAGGGAGGGGAATGGGCGGCTGGTTGAATTTTGGTGGTAGTCCCTGCGCCCAAGGGCAGTGGAGATGGTTGGGAAAAGGTGGACAGCTGAAGGGAGGTTCCCAGGGCTGAGCAGAGCTGTGCCCACAGTATCCTTGCGTTGGACAAAGCTGCCCCCGGTGAGGCCGGCCATCCGAGGGCAGGCTCCTGTGGTTCCCTACATGCGATATGGACACTCAACCGTCCTCATCGATGACACGGTCTTCCTTTGGGGCGGGCGGAATGACACTGAAGGAGCCTGCAATGTGCTCTACGCATTTGATATCAGTGAGTAGGGGGTCTCAAAAGAGAAGCTGTGTTCTGCCAGATGGTGCCTAGGGGCCTGGGAAAGGTTTGGTTGAGCCAGGGGGAACAGGGTACCCAGAGTTTAGGAGGGAACATCCGAGGGTGCTGACCTGGCTCCTTCTCTCACTTTCTTCAGATACTTACAAATGGTCCACACCCCGTGTGTTGGGAGCAATTCCTGGAGCCCGGGATGGACATTCTGCTTGTGTCTTCGGCAAGATTATGTACATTTTTGGGGGCTATGAGCAGCTGGTAAGCCTGGGGAAAGCAGAGGTTTAGTATGGGAATGATAAAGAGAAGGGGGAATAAGACAGTGGAATGGGAGGCTTTGGCTGTTTGCAGGTTTAAGGGGAAGGCTGGAGAGTCAGTGTGACCTTGGTCCCTCTTTTCTAACTTTCTCTTTTCAGGCGGATTGCTTTTCCAATGACATTCACAAGCTGGATACGAGCACCATGACTTGGACTCTTATTTGTACGAAGGTCTGTCTTTTCTTCCTCTTCTAAAAGCCCTGCACTTCATAGAAGAAATCATGGGAGTTCAAACTGAGCTGCTTCCCTCCCAACATCCATGCTGACCCACCCTGCCTCTCTGCTTCTGCCCAGGGCAACCCTGCACGCTGGAGGGACTTCCATTCCGCCACAATGCTGGGCAGTCACATGTATGTCTTTGGGGGCCGTGCCGACCGCTTTGGGCCATTCCACTCTAACAACGAGATTTATTGCAATCGTATTCGCGTCTTTGACACCAGAACTGAAGCCTGGCTGGACTGTCCCCCAACGCCAGTGCTGCCTGAGGGGCGCCGGAGCCACTCAGCCTGTGAGTATCTGTTATTTCTGGGTGGAGTCCCCTGTCCTATCTTCCTCACTCTTTGTTGAGACAGAGTTTTGCTAAATTGCCAGGCTGGGCTGGAATTTAAAAGTCCTCGCTTAGCCTCCCATAGTCCTGGGATTACAGGCGTGTGCTGTGCAGTCCTCTGCTCTCCAGACTCTTGACACTCCTCTGTCCTTCCAGTTGGCTACAACGGGGAGCTGTACATCTTTGGTGGCTATAATGCAAGGCTGAACCGGCACTTCCATGACCTCTGGAAGTTTAACCCTGGTAAAGAGCACTACCTTTAGGGGAGAAACAAGGAGCAACTGAGGTGGGAGGAAAAGAATAACCATCCTGAGCAGATGAGGGGCTGGGTAGTGGAGGTACCCGGACCGGGCAGGTGTTGAACTTCTGTGTAAACCTCTCTTTAGTGTCTTTTACCTGGAAAAAGATTGAACCGAAGGGGAAGGGGCCGTGTCCCCGCCGGCGCCAGTGCTGCTGTATTGTTGGTGACAAGATTGTCCTCTTTGGGGGTACAAGGTTAGGAGGAGAAAAGGGAGGGCTCAGGGAAAGGCAGAGGTCTGTGACTAATAGGGGAGTGGGAAGTATCTCAGCAAGAGGGTCTTGCGGGGAGTTTTCCTTCTTATCTTCAGCTCTTTTGATCCCTACAGCCCGTCTCCTGAGGAAGGCCTGGGAGATGAATTTGACCTCATAGATCATTCTGATTTACACATTTTGGATTTTAGTAAGTAGTTACTTCTGAAGTGCATCCACTGGCAGGGCACCTGTCCTTGGGTGGTGATCTCCAGGACTGGACCTTTCCTTGGCTTTGACCAGCTTCCTCCCCCAACTCCTCCCTTTAAGGCCCTAGTCTGAAGACTCTGTGCAAACTGGCAGTGATTCAGTATAACCTGGACCAGTCCTGTTTGCCCCATGACATCAGGTACAGTGAGTGTTTGCAAAGGAGGAACTGGCTGGGGGTGAGTGAGCAGCACAGGTGTGACCCAATTAGCTCACTCTCGGTGTGGAGAACACGGGCATTTTTGTCCTCCTGGAGATGTAATGTTCTTGTGAGTAATGAGATGGAAGGAGCTACGCCTACCATGTAATCAAACTGTCAGCTGGGTAAATAATATTGAAAAGAAACCAGTTTTTTGAATGAACCTCAGAGGCATCACTTCCTGAGACCTGAGATTAGACAGTTGTTTTTGTTAATATTTGAGAATGGCTGATTAAGTCTTTTATCCTAATTGCAAAGTACAGTTCAGGAGCCTCTGGATCACCTTAGTTCTAGAATTAAGGGAGGACCTGACTCCTCACCCCTGAATTCCCTTCTTAGGTTCAGATCAAGCACCAAGGGTTATTACACTGGGTCATTCTGAGACACTTCCCTCTGCTAGTGTCACTGCGCTTTAACTCTTACTTGCTGAGAGTCTATGTGTTCCATATTTGATGATGGAGCATACAGGTTGGGTCCCAGACTGGCCCAGGATTGACACATGTGCAAGTGCCTGACACCAAGTAGACTGGTTAGGTCTTGGCATAAGGAGGTACTTGGTCAGTAGAATGAAAGGATTGTGGAAAAGAGAGAAATTTAATTTTAATATGATAGGATAGGTGAGGGAAGCCTCAGGGAGGGCAGGAGATCTGAGTCAGGCCAGGTTTAAAAACATCAACAAGAAATGCACTTGAGCTAGGAGGTGGAAGGGTGAGTGGCAGGATCTGTGGTGGGTGGGGACTAATCCTTAGACCTAATAGTGCTGACAAGAAGAGGTGGGTGGTTGTGGGTGCTTGAGCTTTAGAAAGGCATTGCTGTGCACATAGCTTTGTTCAAGGAATTCTGGGCTTCAGGTGAGGGGCTTCCCCTCTGTCCTTTCTAAAGACTCCCTCCTCTAGGTGGGAGCTGAATGCCATGACCACCAACAGCAATATCAGTCGCCCGATCATCTCCTCCCACGGGTAGGAGGACTGCCGCCACCCTCCTGCGCCTGCTGTAGTCTTCAGTGCCCCTGCCACCTCTCACCTGCCTGCCCGCCTTGGACCCGGACTCAGTTACCTCCACGTGGAGTTGCTGGACTAGAGGTGTTTCTGTGCTGTGAATTAAGTGGGGAGCTGGCGGGAGCGAGGGCCAGGTCCCTCTTCTGTCGGGCCGAGGGCCCCTTCCCCTTGGTGCTCTGTACCCATCCACCTCCCTCCAGCTGCTCCTGGGCCTCTGCTCTGCCCCAGGCCATCCAGTAACCAGGCTCTGCTGGGAAGGGAGGCGAGTGGGGAGAAGGGGGAAACGTGCAGTGTCCGAGCCTCAGGAGCTTCCCTCTCCTCGTGCCAACCTCCCTCCTTGAGCATTGCTAGCGAGAAGCTGCAGCTGCTGGCGCGCGACCTCCTCTCCCGGACCCGAGGAGGCGGGGCCCAACCGATCACCCTTCCCCTCCCCGAGCTGCTGGTGCACCCCGAAGCTCAGCCAGCTCTTGTTTTATAAAAATGAAGTAAAACGTGCCCCGCGTGGCGTGTTCTTGTGGAATAGCGTGGAGGGAGGGAGGAGTTTGCAGTGGCTCGGGGGACTGAGGGCGGGCGCCCCGAGGTTCCAGGTTCCCAGCAGAAGTGTTAGCCCGAGGCCTGGCAGGGTAACAGGTTGCTGGGCGCCGTTTTGTCTTTGGGTGGGGCTGGGGAGGATCGACGGTCTCCTAGCTTCAGCCCCGCCCTTGGGACGCCCGGAAAAGGGGGAGGGGAGTGGCAGCGGGAGGAAGTGACGTCATTCCAATGCACCGCGGAAGCCACCCATGCCCAGAGTTGGTCCCTGCGCGGGGCCTTCGGTCCGTCGTCCCTGTGGGACCCAGGAGAGCGGGAATGAGGGCGACGGCGGGGACCTGGAGCTGGGGGCCGCAGCCTGCTACCTGCCAAAGGGTAAGGGCCTGGGATCCGGGTTGGGGGAGTGCTCTGCAGTTCTGGAGAACTGTGAAGGGGGCGCGTGCAGCGCAGGGAAATGGGGGTTGAGAGGCGCCTACTAGGGCCGGGGGTTCACTGGTTCCGCCGCCTGCCTCGCAAGCGCAAGGTCCTGAGTTCGATCCCCGGTGCCCCCCCAAAAGAGGTGCCTATTAAAGGTAAATATGAGAGGAGTAATAGCGCGGAGGCAGGGAAGGCTTTGGGTCGCCGGGGGAACGCTCAGTAGGTCGGGATGCAACAAGTTGCCCAGGTGTTTATTGAGCATCTTCTGTGTAGGTACAGTTTAGCTGTTGGAGGGACCCAAGTGAATAAAGCCCTTGGGCGGCTCACCTTTCAGAAAGGTCAATTAAAGTCGGGCCTGGTCATCTCAGCACCTGAGAGGCAGAGGCAGGATTGCCACGACTTCTAGGCCAGCCTGGGTTACGTAGGGAGACCTTGTCTCAAAGTGTGTGTGTGGGGGGGGGTAGTTTAAAAAGGCATACAAGTAAATTAGTACATAAAAAGGAAATAAAACCCCGAACTGTACACTTCAAAAGAATGAATTTTGGGCGGGGGATTTAGCTCAGTGGTTTCGCCGCCTGCTGCGCAAGCGCAAGGACCTGAGTTCAATCCCCAGTACCAAAAAAAAGAATGAATTTTATGGTATGTGGATTGTATCTTAAGTTTTTTCAAAAAAGAAGATAAAGGCTATGTAGAGAAAGTGGGGAAGGGATTGTAGTTTTAAATACAACAGAGAGGGCCTTACTGGGACAGTGACATTTCAGCAAAAGCTTGAAGATCTCGTGCATAGGATGAGAGGTGGGAACACACCTTCCTACTCTGGAACTGCTTGCAGGAGAGTGGACTGGCGGGGAGTGAGAGGACGATTCCTGGGAATTGGAATTAGAAGTAATACAGTGGCCGGTCACAAGGGAACTTTGAGGCCATTGTAAGACATGGCTTTTACTCGGAGCAAGATGGAAGCCATGGGGAGCTTTGAATTCAGGGGTGCTGTGATGTAAAGTTTGTGTGTGCAGAGAGAACAGATTTAATGTCTCGTGGGCAGAAGAGTGAGGCTGAGATTGGGAAACCTGTGTGGAAGCTGGGGTGTGGACGGAGAAGAGGTGCTGAGAGCTTGAGTCAGGGCCACCAAGGCCCTGTAGGGGGGACCTGTGAATTCAGAAGAGAGGGTGCAAAATCTGACTCTTCCACCTCCACAAGCAGAGGCTGCAGCTTGCTGAAACAGCTCGAGTGAGGTTTGAGTGTAGAAGCAGTGCAGCCTGTGCTGCCTAGGACTTACAGTAATGATTGGTCCATGTGGGGGCACTGGAAACACCAGCTGTCTAAGGGTTGGGGATGGGCTGTTGTCTTTCTTGTGTGGGAGATTGGAAGCTTAGTTGTGTGGCCTCCCCCTACCCACACTGTTGCAGGCATGGCTGACATGTCATTCGAGGAGCTGTTGGAACTGCAGAGCCAAGTGGGGACCAAGACACACAAAGAGTTGGTAGCTGGAAACAGCGCTAAGAAGCCAGGTTCTAGAGCGTCTGCCCAAAATGCCCGTGTTGCAGATAAGCACAGGTGAGAGTCGGGCCTGGCCCAGGAGGTGGCAGTACCTGGGGTTGCTTGGTAGCAGGCGGGAAGCCTTTGACCACACTGGAATCCCCTTGACCCACCCTTTCATATCTCTGTAGGCCTCTGGAAATGTCAGCCAAAGTCCGAGTGCCATTTTTACGGCAGGTCGTCCCCATCAGTAAAAAGGTAAGGAAGAGGCAGGGAGCACTTAGTGAAAGGAGACTGAGCGGTCCATCTGATACTCTCCCAACTCTCTGAAGGTGGCGCGGGATCCCCGCTTCGACGATCTGTCAGGGGAGTATAATCCTGAGGTATTCGACAAAACTTATCAGTTCCTGAATGACATCCGAGCCAGAGAGAAAGAGGTGGGCAGCCTGAGGCTGGTTGGTGGGGGTCTTTGGGGACAGGGGTTAGAGATGGACAGGTGGGAGTGGGAAGCATTATTTTCTGTAATTTGTTTCTCTTAAAATTCTATTTCATTAGTTTTCTAGCTGTGTGACCATCACAAGTTACTTAGTCTCTGTCTGTTTTCTTTTGGTATAGTGGGCAAGTTTTCTTCTCTACATTTTTTTTTTTTGGACAGTCTTGCTATGTAGTCCAGGTTGGTCTTGAGCTTGTGATTCTCCTGCCTCAGCCTCTTGATTTCTGGGACTATAGCCATGTACCACTGTGTCTGTCTGGCTTTCTAATCATAAGAAGGATGATAAGAGCTGGGGGTGTAGCTCAGCAGTAGTGTGGTTCTGTCCCCAGCACCACACACGCGTGCGCGTGCACACACACACACACACACACACACACACGCACACAGGGATCATGAAATTCCTACCTCACAGCCTCATCATGTTAGCGTTTGTGAACTCTTGAATAGCACTTGGCAGAGTCTCAGCTGACAAACAGAGCATTAACTGTCCTGCTCCTTCTACACTGTACAGCTGGTGAAGAAGCGGCTGAAGAAGTACCGCTCAGGGGAGGAGCATGAGAAACTGCAGCAGCTGCTTCAGCGGCTGGTGAGTGGGTGGCCATGGGGAACAGTGGGAGGCAGGGTGATCAAAGCCCCTTCGCCTGCTCATCCCATGTCCCATCTGCCCTCCCCAGGAGCAGCAGGAAGCGGCCCAGCAGGAGAGGAAGAGGCAGCAGGAGCTTCGCCTGGCCCTGAAGCAGGAGCAGCGGGCTCAGGCCCAGCAGGGCCATCGGCCATACTTCCTCAAGAAATGTGAGTGGGGTGCAGCTCTGGTGGGGTGGTAACAGGGACAGTGCTGAGCCCAGGGACAGGGAACCATGCAGGGTCAGTGAGGTTTTTTTGGGGGGGCGGGTAACCGGGGATCGAACTTGGGACCTTGCACTTGCAAAGCAGGCACCAGAACCACTGAGCTAAATCCCCTGCCCTCGGTGAGCTCTTTTAAGACAGGTGGCGTGGAGAGCCACATCTGGCAGTGCTTATCTGTAATCTCAGAACTAGGGAGGCTGAGGCAGGAGGATTGCTGAGTCCAAGGCCAGCCTGGACTATATAGTGAATTCAAGGCAAGCCTACACTATAACAAGACCCTGTCTCAAGAAAAGAAAAAAAAAAGTAAAAAGAAAATGAAAATGAAAGGAATGAATATTGGATCCCATGGTGACTTGTGGGAATAGTAGAGATGAACTATTTGCAACTAGTCTTGTATCCCTAATTCAGTTATGGCAGAAATTGTCTTTTCTCTCTTCCACTCCCAGCCCCCCACCACATGTGTGTGCTGGGCTGGGCACGTAGTAGTAGGAGTTCAGTAGTAGTAGGAATTCAGCATTGGCTCAGTTGAGTGAGACTGGGATCACTCGAGAAGATGGCTAAAGCTGGGGTGCAGCTCAGTGGTAGAGTGCTTGCCTAGCAAGTGCAAGGCTCTGGGTTCACGTAAAACCAATTGGTCCCCACACAGAGATTCCTACCCCAGCCTGGGGAACTTGAGAGGGCGGCTTCCTCTTTTCTCATCAGCTTGCTTTCTCCCTGCTGTCCAGCTGAGCAGCGCCAGTTGGCCCTAGCGGAGAAGTTCAAGGAGCTGAAACGCAGCAAGAAGCTAGACAGTTTCCTGAGTCGAAAAAGGCGTCGCAATGCAGGCAAGGACAGGAGACAGCTGCCTTCGAGCAAAGAGTAACAAGGAGTGGTCCTGTCTGCCGCTCCCAGGGAAATGCAGATCTGTGGGGCTGATGTGGGGCTGGCTCATTCTGCTGGTTCTTTCCTGTTCAAGGGCAAGGATCCCAGTTGCCTCAGAACCAAGTTGGCTCAAAGACAGGAGGGGTCTTGGGCGGCCCTCTGAGTGGAGAGGAAATGTCGCTTGGCCACTGCCGTGCCACACTGCCTCTGAGTGGAGGCAGTCATGTTCTCCTTCATCCTTGCCTTAACCCAGTAGTTCTGGTAGAGAAGCAGAGGGCCCATGGGATCTGTTCACATATGAGCCGCGTCATAAACATTCTCGTTAGCACCTTTGTATCTTTGTTGTTTTTGTGGGCGACTTAGAACTGTTGTATTGGGCTATGTATGGGGTAGGCAACCAAGCCCAAGCCTTGTGAAATCAAATGAGAGGCCATTCCCACGATTTAAATCTGGGCCCTGTTCTGGGCATGGTGGTGCTTGCTTGTAATCCCAGCACTCGAGAGGCTGAGGCAGGAAGATTGCAAGTTCAAGGCCAGCCTGGGCAACTTAGCAAGACCCTGTCTCAAAAAGGAGCCAGGTGTGGTGGTGTATACCTGGAATTCCAGCTCTCTGGGAGGCTGAGGTGGGAGGATAACACAGTTGAGCCCAGCCTGAACAACTTTAGGGAGACTTTCTCAGAAAATAGAAGCCTGGGGATGTAGCTCAGTGTGAAGGCCCTGGGTTCAGCCCCCAATACTATAGATTAGATAGGTGATAGGGAAGGTAAGAAATAAGAAGGATAAATGGGTAGATGGTAGGTGGGCCAGGGACGTAGCTCAGTGATAAACTGCCCTTGAGTTTGATCCTTAGGGGGTTTTTTTTGTTTTTTGTTTTTATTATGGGGAATCAAACTCAGGTCCTTGCAGGCGGCAAAACTACTGAGCTAAATCCCCAGCCTGATCCTTAGGTTTTTGTTTGACAGTGTCATGTGTAGTTCAGGCTGGCCTTGAACTCGCTATGTGGTGCAGGCTGTCCTCAACTCAGTGATCTTTGTGTCTCAACCTCCCAAGTGCTGGGATTATAGCTATATCACCACGCCCAGCTTGATCCTTAGTATTGAAAAATTTAAAAAAGGAAGCCAGCTGCCCTGTTGGGTGGTTCTGAAGGCAGAGGTGGCTCGGTTCTCTGGTGTTGGTGATGACAGGTGGTGGCTGTGCCTGAATTCAGCCACTCCTGGGTTCCAGCAGATCAGCCAGAGCAGAGTTGGCTGGGTGAGTTGTGTGCTGAGGGCAGGCAGCACAGGAGGCAAAGTCCGGGACACTCAGATTTGGGGACTTCACTCACTGCAGAGGAGCAGGAGGTGCCTCTGAGAGATGAGGGCAGGTGACCTGGGAGTGCTTCAGGGGAGGTCAAGGTGAGAATACAGCAGGGGGAGCAATGGGAGGGGTGGAAATTCAAGAAAGTCCCAGTGTCTCTCCTGTGTTTGCTAGCCTGGCCACTGCAATGCATAGCAGGGGACAGCACAGAAGAGCAGCAAGCTGACACTCGAGCACATGCTAAAGGACAAAAGCACGGCCCAGCCCAGGCAAGTCCGTGACTTCTGGTACAGAGGTGCCCAGGTGACAAACTTGCAGTGACTATGGTGCCCCAAGCCCTCTACAGCCCCAGCATGCTGCTGTCTGGCTGCCTCTGCCTGAGGGCATCCATGGGCCAACAGATTGGCACCTGCCATGTGGCCATCAACCCCACCCTGCAACTCCCCAGCCCTGGCTTCTTTCTCTTTTGGGCCGTATTCCAAGTCCAGCCCTGGGTGATGCCAGTCCCTTCCATCTGGCCTATGCCCTCTTACCACCTGACTCTCCCTCCTCCCAGCTCCTGTCCTACTGGGCCATGGGAACTGAGGACTCCCCTCCTCCCTGCCAAATGGCCCTGCCATATGCAGAGCTCCAACCTGGCACTGGGTGCCCTGGCTTTGTCTGGTCTGGCCTGCCTCAGTGCAGGTGGTGGCAGGGCTTGCCGAGGACCTGCTGAGGTAGCAATTCCAGGACAGCATATGTAGTCTGCTCACCCGGAAGGGGCAGGAACATAGGACAGGCAGAGGAGCAATCTGGAGGAATTGTTAGGAGATAACCAAGCTGCAGTAGTCATGATGGTACACATGCAGTCCCAGGACTTGGGGGGCTGAGGCAGGTAAGTTCAAGCCCAGCCTGGACAACTGAGACCCTGTCTCAAAATTTTTCTTTTTTTGGTACCGGGGATCGAACTCAGGACCTTGTGCTTACAAGGCAGGCAGCGGCACCACTCAGCTAGATTCCCGGCCCCCTGTCTCAAAATTTTAAAAAATAAAAATAGGGCTGGGGATATAGCTCAATGGGAAGGCCCTGGCTTCAACCCTCAGTATGCTCAGTGCTGTTAAAACAAAATCAGGAACACCTGAGCTGAAGCTACAGTGCTTCCAGTTCTGCCTCCCAATCTGCATCCATCGCATGGAAGATACATTTGGGACATTGCCAGTTATTTTAGCAAGGCAGTCTCCCTGTGGTCACCAAACAAACTCCACAATCAAACTCCTCCTTGATTTATTTCCACAAAAAAACCCAGCCCAGGGTTACCGGAAGGTGGAGAAGCTGTGGGTGTCAGTGCAGGAAGCATAGGGGACACCCCTGGAGCGAATCTGCAGAGTGTGGAAGGTGAGGGGCGGGTTGGGGCCTGAGGAGCCTGGACTTAGGGACTCGGTGTGGGGCTCCACCACGGTCACAGGGACGGCGTAGCACAGCACCTGCAGCCGGGTGTCGTGGCGTCTCAGCGTGCCCTTGCTCAGCAAGTGCAGGATAGAGGAAAGGACATCAGTGCTGCTGCATGTGGCACCCCTGCCAAGGCTGCTGATCAAACCCTGGGGCGGGCATGGGCCCTTTTGCCAAGCCTCCAGCACCTGGTACAGGAGATCAGAGGCGGTTCAGAGCCACGATCACCTCAGCCTCCGCCGCAATCTCACAATCCTGTGCCATGGAGCCCCAGGACACAGGTGCACCCGACCTCACAACACACACCCCAGGCTGCAGGTGACCCCTACGGCTGTTCCCCACCCCCTGAGCCCACCGCACCAGGCAGACAAGCCGGTCGATGTGCAGCCCCTCATCGCCATGGGGCTTGAGCATCCGAACAACCAAGCAATTCAGCAGGTTCCGCCTCTTCTCCAGGCTGTGGCCCTCTTCATCCTCCGCCTCCAGGTATGTCTGCGGTGGGATGAGCCACACGCTACCCCACCTCGGTCTGGGTTCCTCATCATCATCTCGAATCTTGAGCACCCCTGAAATAAGTACTGGTCACGGGGGGCCCTGGGAGCCTGCCCTGACCCGGAGCGGAGACCCCTCCAGCCCTAGGCACACACCTCCCGGGATGTTGTCCTGCTCTCGCAGGTCCAAGGGGCCTCGAGTGGATGTGAGAGGCCCAATCGCTCGATGTAGCAGGTGTGGGGGGAGCCCCGAGTGTACCAGCAGGCTCTCCACGGACACCACCTTGGGGAAGAGGCACAGAGCATTCAAGGTGCCCCAGGCATGGAGGGAGAGAAGAGAACAAAAAATAGAGGACAAGCAGAGGCCACAGAGGGGCTGGCCACCTTCAGACTGTTGAAATTCAGCAGCAGCCACATCTGCACAGTGGACACATGCAGGGTCTGGTCCCCAAACTGCACCTCGGCGCGGCCCAGCCATGTCCACTGCAGCCGCCGATGTGGGCCTCCCTCTGGGGCAGGCTGGGTCTGACCTGGAGAAGGGAAGGGAAGAGACAGGATGGAGAGAGTGGGTGCAGGCCAAGCTTTGTCCTGCTCGTCTCTGCAGATCACCCAGTGGCTCCTCATTCCAGATCTCATGTCTCTGGGCCTATGCCCTGGCAGCCTCGGTACCTGGGAGCCACCCATGCCCAGTCTCATGCCAGGCAGGTGCCAAGCACTGCCCTTTTTTGCTTTTTGTGACAGGGTGTCCCTATGTAGTTCAGGCTGGCCTAGAACTGGAGGCGATCCTCCTGCCTCAGCCTCCCATGTGCTGCAACTACAGGCGTGCACCACTGTGCGCAGCTTCCTTTTGTGGGGGTTGGGAATTATGGAGTGAGGAAGGACTAAGGCTGTCAACAAACTGGACTACTGGGAGAGGAAACCTGTCTCCCTCATTAGAATATGGCGCTGAGTGCCGGGTCTAGTCTCTCCTGTTAGTCTGCCCAGCCCTGACGAGTCTGGTGGGGCAGGAGCCCCACCACCACCACCTCCAAGGGAACACTTCTCTGTGGCCTCACTCAGGTGCTTCCTGCCTCATCCTCCCCTATCCACAGAGACTCCTGGGACCCAGAATTGGACAGCAGCCAGCCCAAACCTAAGCTCCTGCTCCTTTTCCCAAATCTGCCCATTTTCCATCGTGGCCCTGAAGACCATGTTGTCACCATCCAAGCTCTGACTGGCCAGGGTCCACTCCAACCCTGTCCTTTCCCCAGCCCTAGGCCCCCTGCTTGGCCACTCACTCTTGTGGTAGAAGTTGGAGTATCGGTTCAAGGTTCCCCTCAGGTAGGAGGGCAGCCAGGTTTTGGGGTTCAACGTGTGGCATATGGAGGTAACAGGCCAGCAGCGTGGGGACAGAACGAGCACAGACACTTTTGGCATCATCCCTTCATAGTAGAGATCCTCATTTTCTTCCTCCTCGTCCTCTGCTATGGCTGCAGTTGCAGCTGCCCTTGTGTCCTCCTCCTGCTCGTGCTCAGGCTCCTGGCCACTGGTCTCTCGGCCCACCTGAACAGGCACAGTGTTCACCTATGCCGAGGGCCTGGCCCTGGGCTTCTTCCTTCCTTCCTTCCCTTTTGTTGAGTCCCTCCCTGACCCCACCTGCAGTTTCCTCTCTGTGTCTTCCAGCTTCAGCAGTTCCTCATCAAGACGCTGCAGCTGATAGACATGGAACTGGCGCTGCAGCTCCTCTGAGGTGCGAAGGCTCCGCAACATCAGCTGGGGGAGGCGGTTGGGGAAGCAGAGGCCAATCTGCTCCAGCACGGCCCCCTCCAGCCAGCTGGAGCCCAAGTTCAGGAGACGGTCAGCCATGTAGTGCCTGCAACACAGGCCTGACTTCAGTGCAGATGCCAGGGCAGCCTAGCCTCCCAGAGTCCATGCCCACCCTGGCCCACCAGCTCAGGGTCCCCAGGCCTGTACTCACTGGTAGTAATGCTCGAAAGTGGTGGCCACTTCCAGGCCAGAGAAAACAAGAGCCGCTTCCAGGGACCTCTGCAGCTGCACCAGCGTCTCCATGCCCTGGGCACCCCCAACCCGGCTGCCCTGGATCCGCTGGTCGATGTGCCGCGCAAATTGCTCGCTCACCTGGGTGATGGGCATGCACAGAAAACCCCATGGGCAAGAACAGAGGCAGAGCCTGGAGCTGTGGGCAGGGTGCTTAGCAGCCCATCAGCTGGTCAAGCCAAAGCTTCATGTATGCTAAGCACACGCTCCACCACAGAGCTACAAGTGCAGCTTAGTCAACATGGGCAGAAAACTGCTTTATAAAATCATTAACGGTCCTGCAAATTAGCAATGTGAATAACTCTGAGATGTGTTCTTCACATGTACTGTGTCTCAAAATCAGGTAACAGCAGCCGTGGTGCTGCATGCCTGTGGTCCTAGCATTCTGGGAGGCTAAGGCAGGAAGATCAGAAGCTGGAGCTCAGCCTGGGCAATTCAGTGATTTAGTGAGACCCTGTCTCAAAAAACTAAAGGCCCTGGGTTCTATCACAGGGGAAAAAAAAAAGAAAACCCAGAGATCAGGCTACAAAATTAATATCATTTTGCTAACATTGTAACAACCAGCTAAAATATAGCTTTAAAAAAAACAAGGTATAAAAATTAAAAAAAAATAAGATAGCTGGGCATAGTGGCAGATGTCTATAATCTCAGCACTCAGAAGGCTAAGGCAGGAGAATCCTGGGAGTTCAAGGTCAGCCTGAAATACATAGCAAGGCCCTGTCTCCAAAAAAAACGGGGCAGGGGGGTGTGTATCTCAGTAGCGCTGCACCCAGGGGAAAAAATAAGTAAATAAAAGAACTAAGATAGCTGGAGATGGTGGCACACACCTGTAACCCCAGCACCTGGGAGGCTGAGACAAGGGCATAGCAGTCCTACCTACTCTTTTTTTTTTTTTGGTACCGGGGATCAAACTCCGATCCTTGTGCTTGCTCAGCAGGTGGCGAAACCACTGAGCTAAATCCCCAGCCCTATTTTTTCAAATTTTCAGCAACACAGCCCTCGTCAGAGAATGGGAATGGGAGCGGGTTACTGGGGGCAGTGGGATGGAGTCTTCAAGGAGGCCCAGAGCTGGAGGCTTACATGTGCAGCTCTGAGGAAAGGCAGCTGCAGCAGGGCCCCAGCACAGCCGCTCTGCAGTGCCAGCAGGAAGGCGGCCCGAGGCCCGAACAGCTCCGAGCTAGACTTCTGCAGGTTGTAGAAGCGTTCACAATAGCGCTGGACAAAGTCATCATCTCGCCAGTGTGAGGTCAGGAAGGCATTCACCTGCAGGTAGGGCCGGCATGAAGTGGTATCCAGCGGCCCCAGCACCCCTGCCCACCCCTGGCCCTGCTCCTGCCCACCTGCTCCTCCACCACAGCACGCCAGCAGCATGTCAGGTTCCTCAGGATGCTGCCCGGGAGCCCCCAAGTGGTTGGGGAGCCCCAGTCATGGCTTCCGCTTCCACCCTCTGTGGAGACAGAAGGTGAGGTGAGGAGGCAGGGAGGGGCCCCCAGCTCCCCAAGGGTGCCCGGGCTTTCCTGACATGCTGCCACCCACCAGAAGAGGGATGGAGCAAGGGACCCAGGACTCACTGGGCCGAGGGGCGGCTGCCGGCTCGCAGGGCTCCACGTGCACCAGTAGGTGGGTAAGGCGACGCACACGTGATGAGAAGGCAGCTGCGCGGCTCTGAGGGTTGTGGGCAGCCTCGCGACACTCCAGGTACTGGTTCAACAGCCAGCCCAGGGCACTCACGCCATCCTCATCTGGAGGTCCAGAAAAGCAAGCCATATATGGCGTGTCTCCCAGGTAAAGGGCGAGGCCAGGCTGGATGGGGTGCAGAGAAAGAACCACTGGACAGGCACAGGGGAGAAAGTGGCAGGCTTGGCCTGTGGTGTCAGTTGGCCCTTGGAAGACGGGAAACCTCCAGCCCCTACTGTTTGGGCTGGGAGAAGGGGTGATGGACCTAGGTGTCCAAATGGCCAAGATGCCAGGCATTGTGGTGCAGGCCTATAATTCCCACACTCAGGAAGCTGAGGCAGGAGGATTGCTGGAACTTCAAGGCCAACCTGAATTGTATAGGAAGACCCTGTCTCAGAAAAACAACCCAGGGTCGGGGATTTAGCTCAGTGGTTCCAGCGCCTACCTCGAAAGCGCAAGGTCCCAAGTTCGATCCCCGGTACCAAAAAAAAACAAAACAAACAACCCAAAATGGTCAAGAGCATAACCCCAGGGTTTCTAGGGGAGAGCAAGGAGCCAGGATGTTACCAGGCGAGGTGATGTTCTGCACCAGGGGGCTGACCAGGGCCTCCCAGCAGGTCTTGCCCAGTGCCCGGGAAGCCTCCTCATCAGGGAGGAAGCGATCAGCAAAATTCTGCTCATGGCGTAGAGCCCCATTGAGTCTGAGGAGGAGGATGGAGGAGCAGGGTGTCAGGGGCTCGCAGATTAAGCTCCCTGGTGTGTACTCCGCCAGCTCAGCCCCCAGCCCCAGCCCACTCGTTACTCAGAACTTGCCTGGGCTAACCAGTAACCCCATTCACAGCATGTGAGGATTTCTATCTTCTCCTCTCCTTCCCAAGTACATTAGGGCTCCATCTCCTGGCCTCCCTCCAGCCCATCCCACCAGCCATGCACAGCCAGGCATGTACACCCCTTGCACACCTGGAACTCAGGTGCAGGAGGCTCCTGCGGTCCTCAGCTATGTCCTGGCTCCAGGCCTGTGCCCGAACCACGTAGAAGAGACGTGTGTGGCGACACAGCTGCTCCCGGAATGCTGGCCAGAAAGTGGGCTTGGGGCCCAGGACCTCCACACCCCGAATGCGTGTGTCAATGCCACCCTGGAATGCACACAGCCCTGTCGATGCTGACCCCTAACCCAGGCTCTGGATCCACTCAGCACTGCACCCTCCCCTGCCCCAGCCCCACCTGTTGACAGCGCTTTATGCGGATTTGGAGGATGGGCCAGAAGTGGGTCAGGTTCTCCAACAGGGTCACCCGGCTGGCACAGGGCATCACATTCACCTGACAAGGGACAGAGAGGACTGTCACCTCCACATGTGTGGATGGGTGTGCAGTGAGCACCCGTATCAGCAGCAGTTCCCTTGCTGTCCCTCCCCTCTCCAGCCCTGGGACATGGGGCTCTGCTGCCAGCCCCACTACTCCAGGACTGAGGCCATCACACAGACAAAGGGACAAAGGACTCCATCCTCTGTGGGGCTCAGGGAGTTCAAGGTCAGGCAGGACGGCTAACCCTACAAGGGTGGGTTAATGGCACAGGAGCACCTACTGAGTTGAGTTCCGTGTTAAGAGAGCTGGTGGTGTTGCCCCCATACACTGCCACCAGTGCTGGCATGTAGCTTGCATCTTCTCTGGCCACCAGCAGAGTCAGCTGCCTAGGGATTGGGAGAGGAGCTGGTGAGAATGGGAACCAGTCACATCCATGAAGACACACCGCAAGGACTCTGGCCAAATCTAGAGGGGTGGTGCTCCCTCCAGCCAGAAACAGGGAGAAGAGAGAAAGCCCGGGCATGTGGCTCGTACAAGCATATGCACACAGACCTGATGAGGACACCCTGGTGCATGTGCAAGGTGATGTGGTGGGAGCCGGTGCTGCCACTGGACTCCCAGTAGGTCTTGGGGTTGCGGTCCGTCAGCTTGCTGGCCCGGTGTGGGTTGGAGGACACCTCCACCTTCTCCCAGCACTTGCCCTCCTTCACATCCACACTGGAGCCTGGGGCAGGCAGGAAGGGGTGGTCAGTACAGAGGGGAAACAGTATGGGCATGGGGATGCTGAGCAACTGGGAACAGGCACAAACCCTGGCACAGATATCTGAGAAACGCATCAAAGAATGGGATGTTGATGGGCCGGTGGGTTCGTCTGTGGTCTTCGATCTGGCCCAGCACCATCTGCAGCGGGAACACAGGAGAGAAGGGGTAGGAGCAGGGGGAGGGACAAAGAGACAAAGAAACATGGGCAGGGGACAGGCCACACCACAGGAGGAAGAGTCATCTGCTGTTGAGATGATGGAACACATCCCTCCCCCACACTGCCTGGTGTCATGTTCTTCTGCAGCTCTGAACCCTAAGCTTGACCCCACCATTCCTCCCAACCTGGATGCAGCCGCCCAGGATGTTGGTGGTGAGGTTCCGGTAGAGATGCGTGTGCTTCTTGCACTTGGACACGGCATCCCGCAGCTCTGGAGCTGACTCCAGCTTTCCTGGGTGCTTCTCCAGGGCCTTGGAGATGGCATCCTGCGCTCCTAGCTGGTTCAGCACCACGGCATTGTCTCTGCTCCCTGAGGTCAGGCGGTGTAGAAAGACGATGAGTTTCTGGAGCACCTACACAGGGACATCACAGGGCCAGTGAATGTGGGGGACAGGACGCAGGCTGTGAAGGACCTGCAATGGTACATGACCACAGTGCATTGGGAATGCCATGGTGAGCAAGACTGAATGGGGATGTGAAAGGACAGAGGGGGGCAACTTCAGAGAAGCAAGATCAAGCCAGAGGGAAGGGCCCAAGGCACCCTGTGACCCTGGCATTGTAGGCTGCTGAGCAGGGGCAGTGAGAGCCTGGAGTTCTCACTTCGGTCCTGCTATCCCAGAACCCAGAGGCAGACACCTAGAGAAGGGGACCAAAAGGACTGGATTTATGTGTGGACCTCAGAACCTAAGATCTGGGTAACAACCAAAGGCGAGCACTGCAGGCGACCAGCCACCATGACCCTTCTCAGGCCCTTTCTGCAGCCCTCTGTGCCCAGAACTTCTCTGTAGCTCCTGCAGGGAGCTGGCATTTGGTGTACCCTTAGCCTCTTCCTCCCCTTTTCCAGCACCAGCCCATGTGAAAAAGGAGCCACCGAAGTGTTTATCTTTGCATAAGAAGGGCTGGGGATTTAGCTCAGTGGCTTGCCTGCCTAGCAAGCACATGGTCCTGAGTTCGGATTCCTGGTACCGGGGTGGGGGAGAAGTATCTTTGCATAAGAAAATCAAGGAGGGGCTGGGGATGTAGCTCAGTGGCACTGTGCCTGCCTTGCAAACGCAAGGTCCTGAGTTCAATCCCTGACACCACAAAAAACAAAAAAAAATCAAAAGTAGTCAACTAATAAATGCTTATTAAAAAAAAAAAATCAAGGAGGATTCATCCATGAATACAGGGGTCAGCCATGAGGGGCACCAGAGCCAGGGCACCCCGAGAACACAAATGCAGGTGGGAGTAACAATTCTCAGCATGTACCTTGTGCTGTTTTGATTTGTGAACCATGTGAATGTGATTTAAAAAAAATGAAATTTGACTTTAAAAGCAAAATTTAAGCCAAGAGCACAAAGGCTATGTGGCACCCTCTACATAGGCCAGGTCGCCCAGGGTCACCTCACCAGCAGTGGCCTACTGTCCTCTCCCCAGCCCCACTCAGCCCCAGAGCAGGCCAGGGTACCTCACAGTCAGTGTTGGGGGACTTCAGGCAGGCCACGCAGGCGTCCATGGCCTCGTGCCAGGGCAGCAGCAGTGCCTCGGGGAAGTCCACCAGCTTCGTCAGGATTCTGTGGGAGAGGCAGGAGGGAGGGAGATGTGCAGCTGGCCGAGGCCCCTCACCTCACCCCGCCCCTCAGCAGCCCTTACCTCAGTGCTGCCAGGTGCAGGGCCTTGTTGGTGGCCGGGGTGTCCAGGCTTCGCAGGAGGGCGAGGAAGGGCTGGGGCTGCCTCTGGAGCTGTAGCAGGCATGGCCTGACCTCGCCATCCTGGGGCCCAGCACAGCCCAGGGCTCGCTCAAGGTCCACAAGTAGTTGCCCAGCAGGCCCCAAACCCTCTGCCAGGTGCCGCAGGGCTGCACCAGGGCTCTGAGAGTGGGGCTTTTTCTCTGTAGAAAGAACTGGACGCAAGAACTGGACTCGATTAGTGATCCAGAGGCTCAGAAAATGACAGGCTAATTCCTAGCTCTCCAGCTTTTTACTAATTCCTCCTTAAAAAATGATTTTTTTTTTCTTTTGGTGCTGGGGGTTAAACCCAGGGCCTTGTGCATGCAAAGCAAATGAACTACGTCCTCGGCTCCCAAGTTTGTTTTTGTTTTCTTGTCCTTTTAAAAGTTAGTTTTGGAGATTTCAAAACATCTTAATATATTTAGAAAACAGTTTCATTACAGTTTGTGTGTGTGTGTGTGTGGGTCTTACCATACAGTATAGGCTGGCTTCCCAACTTGTGGTGATTCTCCTGCCTCAGCCTCCCCATGAATTTATACTTCATTTTTTTTTTTTTTGGTACCGGGGATCGAACTCAGGTCCTTCTGCTTTCGAGGCAGGTGGTGGAACCACTGAGCTAAATCCCCGGCTTATACTTCATTCTTAAAATAACTAAGTAGCTTTCTGTCTGCAAGTAGCAGAGCATTTCCCTACTTAAAAAGCACACAGTCAGGCATGGTGGCACATACACCTGTAACCTCAAGACTCAGGAAGCTGGGGAAGAAGGATCATGAGTTGGGGCCAGTGTGGGCAACTTAATAAGACCCTATCTCATACTGGGAAAAAGAACAGGGGAGGCTACAGTGTGACTCAGTGATTGAGCACTTGACTAGCATGTGCAGGGTGTGGGGTTTAATTCTCAATACCCACCACACACAGACACACACACAAACACACACACACACACACACACACACACACACACACACACGCAGAGAAATGTGAGAAATGATTTTTTTTTTGTTTACAATAGAAACAAAATAATAGGCTTCTAAACATCTGTTGCAGCTGGCATCATGGTGCATACCTACAATCCCAGCACTCTGGAAGGCTGAGGCAGGAGAATGGTAAATGAGGTCAGCTTGGGCAACTTAGTGACTTAATGAGACCCTGTCTCAACATAAAAAAGTTTTTAAAAGGGCTGGAAATGTAGCTTAGTGTGAAGGCCCTAGGTTCAATCCCTAGTAAAACCAAAACAGAAAAAAGTAAGGGGTGTAGCTCAGTGGAAAAGCACTCCTGGTGCTTCAATCCCCAGTGTTATAACAACGAAACTCCGTAATTTTTAATCTTTACATCTTCCATTATTCTTGTTTTTTTTTATTTAGACAGGATCTTGCTATGTAGCCCAAGCTGTCCTTGAACTTGAAGCAATCCTTCTGCCTCAGCCTCCCAAATGCTGAGATTACAGGTGTGCACCACCTAGCTTGGCCTCTTTCTGTTTTTCATTTTTCTCTTGGTACTAAGGGTTGGACCTAGGGCTTCTATATGCTAGACAAGCTCTCTACCATTGATCTATATCCTCAGCCCTTTTTATTTATTTATTTATTTATTTATTTTTAAAAATTAAGATAAGGTCTTGCTAAACTGTTAAATTGCTCAGGCTGGCTCCGAACTTGCAAACCTCCTGCCTCAGCCTTCCAGAGTGTTAGGATTAGAAGTATGAGTCACCTTATCTGGCCTTTTGTTTTGCTTTTGAGACAGGGTCTCACACTTTGTTGCCCAGGCTGGTCTGGAACTTCTGGTTTAAAGGGATCCTCCCACCTCAGCATCCCAAGTAGCTAGGAACACAGATGTGTGCCACCAGGCCTGGCTCCCCTCCTTTATCCTTTAAGGAGAATACAACATCTACTTCTCTTCTTGTTGTTTCTCTCCTACAAAGGGCCACCCAACAATCACACAGACCTTCTCCAGCTCCCAAAGACAAGCATGCCCCCCTGCTGTGCCTGTCTGGTACCCACCTTCTGCTCTGGTTGCATCTTCCTGGCCTTGGGCTTGGAGAAGGGGTGGGCAGGCTGGCTGCCCGGCTGGGGCCTCGGGCCCGTACTTCCTGTAGACTCGGCAGTTGAGCAGATCCCTGAGGGCACTGTCGTTCAGTCTCTGTGGCAGAGACTCCAGCAGATTGCAGGCTAACTCCACAGGCACAGCCAGTTCAGACAGGATCTCATCGTCCAGCACATGCTACAGGGAGACACTTTCAATGCAGGCAGCTCCAGGGGTGTCTGGGAGGGGGTCTCCCTGCACAGCCTTCCACCCTGAGCCCCTCCTGGTTGGCACCTGGCTCCTCCCAGAGAGCCCACCACAACTGCACTGGAGAACACTGCAGACCCCTTCCCTGCGGCCCTCATGCTGCCTGGCCCCCACTTCCCATCTGTGGCCTTTCAGATGTCTGTCTTGCCCCACACAGTGGTCCCTCCACCCTGGTGTCTCTACCTCCCTGTCCAGATTCTCCTGCACCATCTGGAGAACCTCCTGATGGTCAGGCCCATCCAGCTTCCTGATGAAGAACAGCAGCTCCCACCACTCAGCCTGGCTCAGGTGCTCGCTCTCCTCTGTGTCCTCGTCCTCAGGCAGCACATAAGGCACAGCATACAGCTCAGTCATGGGCTTCCAGCGCCAGGAAGGCAGGACTGTGGAAATGGGCCAAAGGATGCAGCCATGGCATCGCCCACCCAGCCAGGCCCACAGCTCCCCAGTGCAGGCAGAGCTGCTTTCTCGCCCAGCTCACCTCCACCCAGGGCTCCACTGACCACTGCCCCCTGGTGGTTAGCAGCCTCCACCACATCCTCAACGTCTTCCTCAAAGCCCAGGATCTCCAGCATGTGCCAATGTACCCAGTAGGTGCGGCCTGTAGACTCCCACCACACCTGGAGGAGATTTAGGGGGAAAAAGGGCTAAGGATTTGCTGTGGCTCAAGGATGTGGACCCATACCCACAAGGGCAGGTGTGGAAATAGCTCCAAAAATACTCAAACACCAGCACAGACCCAAAGGATACTTTCCTCTTCCAGAATGTCTCTGCCTCTCCTCTCCCTATCCTTGATGGCTCAAGCCTCTACTTTCCACCTGGCCTCTAGCACCCCAGCTCCTCAATCCTGACCTTTGGGAGAGTCTAATGCTGTTTGTCCCTGGGTGTTAGCCTTCTACACCCATATTTTCTTTTTTTTTGGTACTGGGGATCGAACTTGGGAACTTGCGCTTGCGTGGCATGCACCAGAACCACTGAGCTAAATCCCCGGCCCTACACCCATATTTTCTCAGCCCTCCAAGTGGCCCTCTTTTGACTGCTGACCCCTTGGTCCTACTTAGGCTTTTCTCTTTGCATGGCTGGCCAGAGCCCACCTAAAGCCCACCACTGTAGTCCCCAACAGTACCCCACCACCACATGCCCCTCACCTGCGCAGGGGGAACACCACTATTGCTCTGCCGGAACTCGCCCTCATCTCCAGCACTGATCTCCTCATAATCATCCAGCATCCGCACTCGCATGCCTGGCTGCAGCATGTCCCGCACGTATAAGGCATAGGTATTGCCACTTGCGAACTCCATTCGAGCTCGGAACTGCCTTGACCTTCTCCTGAAGGAGTGCCGGGCCTGGCTGGGTGGGAGCCTCCGGCTAGCATCTGCTGGCTGAGGCTGGAAGATGGAACAGGGGGACCTTGCCGAGCTCCCTGGTCTGCTTGAGGCCCAGTCCCAATGCATGGCCTGCACCAGCTCTGAGATCAGGGTGCCCATGGCCATACTGAATTCCAGATCCAGTCGGCCTTTCTCCTCGGTCAGTTCCGCTGGGGCTCCTGATTCCTGGGCACTGCTGTTCAGCTGATCCAGGAGGAAGGTGGCATGCAAATACCGCTTTACCAGGGAGAAAAGCAGCCTTCCTGGGACCTGGGGGATACAACTTTGGTCTCCACCTACCTCGTCTCCGTTCCTGCCCCTCTTTCCACTGTCCCCAGTGCCAGATGCAAAGGCCTGGTCCTTAGATCTCACTCACAGCTTCTCCCACCCTGTCCTCAGGATACCTGTGGCAGCTGAATGCCCTCAAAAGACATGGGGTGTTCAGCCAGCGTGGCCTGTGCAAACAGTGCCAGCAGGGCACAGCGGCTGTCAAAATCCAGGTGCTTCTCGATGGCCTCTTGCTGGCTCAGTGACAGAAGGATGTGGGTCCTGGTCCCTGTAATGCAAACCCCAATCAGTAACTGCTCTCTAACCTCACCCTTCCCAGGTATCTACCCCAGACTTTCTACTCACTCAATAAAAATAATCTTGCTACTACTCAATGGGAATGACATGATTTGTTGTTGTTTCAAAAGCCAAAATTTACTATCTTATTCATGCACACAATCTGCAGTAGTCTAAACACTTCCTTTCATAAAAAACCAATATGAACTTCTTGCAGATTCAGTTTTTCCTCTTCCTGCAGACGTCCCCACCCCAATCCCAACCCTGCCTTCCTCCTTCTCTTCTATCTCTCTGAGGCGGAGTAACAGAATCATTTCTGTACTGATGAGGTTGGAGGGTCCTGCCAATGTCCAGTGAATCTGAGCTGCCCCAGCCCCTCTCCTGCTCTCCCTCCCTCCCGGTGCTGCCCCTCACCAGCATCGTGTGAGGACAGAGCCTGTATCATCCGTCCCGCACTCCAGCGAATCTGGTAATCCGGGCTACTCAACATGTGCATGAGCAAGTCCAGGACCCTTGGGTCTTTGAAGACCCCAGTGAGGGGCTCGATGCTGGCATAGGCGCTGAGCACGTGGACGGTGTGGAGCAGAGGGGCAGGAGGGACTGTGCCCACACACTCCTTTAGCTGCCGAAGGGCCCTCTGAATCAGGGACTTCACATCGGTTTCCATCTCCCCCAGCACAGATTTGTCCAGGGTCCCGGCCTCTGCTGCAGACTTCTGGGAGGGCCTTATGACCTGGCCATCCTCGCCCAGCATCTTGTGGCAGTTGGCATAGATTTCATCATCAGACATCCAGAGCAGGATGTGCTCAGCCTTGCAGTCCACTTGGCCAGGGGCCCCTTCCCCATCCTCTCCTCGCCTGAGGATGAGCCAGCGGATCTGGTACTCAGGGTGCCCGTCGTGGCCCACCCGCTGCCGGATCAGCTCATCAGGATAGGCATGCAAACCAGGCCCCAGGGGCACCCTGAATTCTCTGTATCGGAGTTCCCCCACCATCCTGGCACCTGGGACACACAAGTGAAAGAGAACAGACAAGCTGGAGTAAGGGGGTAGGCCAGAAAATTAAGCCCATCCAGAAGTCTTAGAAGCAAAGGTCACAACAGCTGCAGGTCTGAGAGGGGTAAGAGTGGGCCCAGGAATTGCCTGCGGCAGTCGGGATGGGGCCAGGGCCAGGCAGGGGGACCCTGGGAGCTAGATAGCTGTCACCAAGGCTTGCAGCCTGCAGTGGGAAGGAGGGAGACCAGCGTTGGACTCAGAGCCCAAAGGCCCTGGGGTAGGCAGCCCAGCTAGGGACAGCAGTGAGGCCTGAGGGATGAGGGCTCAAAGAGGGTGCACCAGCGCATGCAAAAAGGGGTGCTATCTGTAAGATCTGAAGGGTGGGATTTGGAGTTGCCAAGGTAAGAGACGCTAAGAACTGATGGAGAAGGGCGATGGCCAGGGAGGAGGGGGTGGCTGGCGACAGGGATGCCTGTGGGCGCCGGGGCAGATGGGGACGCTGCGAGCCCGAGAAGAATGCACTGGGGAACAGGGGTAGGGGGCAGGGGTGGGGTACAGGATGGGGGGGATGGGCTGATGCAGAAACCTGGGCCGGTGGGCAAGGGGACGCGAGGTACAGTGGGTTCCGGGACCGGGTCGGGGCTCTGGCCACCTCAGAAGTGCATGGGTTCTAAGGCGAACCTGTCTTCCACGCTGGGGATGCACGCAGCCGACCGAGAAGCTGGCGAAGGTAGGCCCCCAAAGGGGTCGCGGTGGGAGGGCCCAAATGCGAGGGGGCGTGTCCCCGGAGCGGACGGGGGCGTGGCGCACGAACCTGGCCCTGGCAGGGTCACTGTGCCAGGCGGGCGGCCTTGGGGACTGGGGGGTCCCTGGTCCTTGCCCGCACTGGGCCCAGCTTGAGGGCTCCACCCCCTGCCCCACGGCTCATTTCCGCTGTACTCAGCGGAAAGCAGGGGGCCAGGAGCACGGGGCGGAGCCGGCTGCCACCTCAGCGACGCGGGCTCCTCCTCCTTGGCACCGCCCTTTCCTCTTCCTCTCCATCCTCCTTCCCGCCGCCGGAAGTACCTTCCCTCTTCCCTAAATCGGAGCTGGGAATTTGGAGGTCGTTTGTGCCTCCGCGCCCCATTCCTCTCTTCCCGCCGTACTTGTGTGTGTGCTCCTTTTACCCGCAACCAGTCTACACCCCTTCCAAAAACAGACAAAAAAAATAGTACATAAAAATGGGGCATTTTATTACAGTTCAGGGTCATCAACTTTGGGCAGCAGCAGAGGGCAACTTCACATAACTCTTCATAGGGGGCAGTGGCCGAATCTTGCGGCCAGCCCAGCCCCCCTTGCGGTGCCACAGCCCGCTGTTAGGCCTCTTGCCCAGCCAGCGGTTCCGACCCGCTTTGCCAATGACTCGTTGGTCATGATCAACGTTGGATACTCGGCCCACTGTAGCCACGCATGTATCCAGCACCTGCCAGACAAAGCGGAGGGGTGGGGGAAGGCAAGGTACAGGGCAGGTGGGGAAGTGGGGGCCCTGGCAGTGGTGTCAGCATGACTCTGGGAGGTTGTTATACTAGGGGGTATAGAAGGGAAAGCTCGATATAGCTGAGCCTAAGTAGGAGCTGGGTAGTTGAAAACGGAAGACGCTGTTCCTTATTCCATTTTGGTGGAGCTGTGATGAGTCGTGCTTAGGCATGTGGCAAAGGACAGACCCGTCTGGAGGCAGTTCCCAGCATCCTAACACACCTGGAACTACAGACACAGAATCCCACCTGCACACTACACACCTGCATCTGCCTCTTCGAGGGCAGCTGGATAATGGCTGTCCCATTCACCTTCCTCAGCAGCACACCACAGGTTCCTGGGGAAGGGAGGAGCAGCTTTGCCACCCTCCACAGAGAAGCAGGGTTCCCATGGGGGCCACATCCCACATCCTGTCCTTGCCTTGCCCTTTAGAGGTATATACAACAAAGAAGCATGTATGCCATTTTTTAGGTCAAAACACAGCACACATTCATCCTCATGTTTTTCGTTCCTTCATTTTCTCTGCCAGCAGACTGGATGTGGGCCTATGGGTTCTGAGAATGGTGATGTTAGGTACCCTTAGCCTTCCATACTGTGGAACCCAGAGTACTACGTTCCCCATACCTGCAGCTCGGATATACTGGGCCCCTCGGCCAGGTTCACTTTCCACATTGTTGATGAGGGTCCCCACAGGCAGGGCCCCAAGAGGATGTGCATCTCCTTCCCGAGCAGCAACTGAAAGATAGGATTTCATCAGCTCTTGAACCTTTGCAGCCTACAGTCCACACATCCAGCAGCCACTTCTCACCTGCCATTCGGCCTATATGGTTAGAGTTCAGGATAATATCTCCTGCCTTCATGTTTTCTGTGGCAATGATCCAGCGTTTCCGGCTGCCACCAGCAACCAGAGCTATGTCTGCAGACCTGTTCAGGACAGACAAGTGAGTGGACCATCCAGAAAGCCCTCATCTTCTGAGATGCTACACAGCAGACATTCACACCACACTATCATCTTCTCACATCCCAAACTTGCCTACAGGGATCATAGCGGACTTCGATAACCTTCTCCTCAAAGGGTCCTGCCTTGGCCTCCTCCTCTGGCCGGAAACGCAGAAAGTCAATCATGCGGTAACTCTGCTTATGGCCCCCACCAATACCATGGACTCTGATGCGTCCTGCGGTAGAGACAGAGGACATGATCCAGTTTAGACTGGTTCACCTCCCAGCAGTGGGAACTTTAATACTTTCAACTGATAAAGTTTGGAAAGGTGTGAAAGAAATTGTCATGGCATTTCCTGTGTATGGTCAGTTGTCTGTCTGTTGCTTTGTCTCTGGCTCCAATGATGTTCTGCATGCAGAAGAAACCCCTTAGTAAATGCTTAATTACATTACTCTGTCACCTTACAAAGCATAAATGTGTTATTTTACAGGTCTAGTGTCCCAGCATGTTTTTTCCTTTACTCCTTATGTCTCCTTGTCCTTGCTCCCACCTGTGTGGTCTCGACCCCCAGATTTTCTCATCTTCACTGGTCTAATGGTGTACTTGGTACGACTCTTCCAGGACACAGACTTGGCATTAAGGGCCACAGAAGTAAGGAGTGGGCGGCAAGGGAACAACATCAACGTAGTGGGCAGTTGGAGGAGAGCATTGCTCATCACCTAGAAATACAAAGAAATCAAATTCACTTGAAAACTAATTGAAGAAGCATCAGAGAATCAAGGAAAGGTCACAGCCTTCCCTGAAGTGTCCCAGACCAGCTGTCTGAAACCTCCACTCTCCAGTAGCTTGCACTGATATGTAGCTTGCACAAATATCAGTGCAGTGTTTATCCACAGTTCATCACCTCTCCTTGTTTGATTGTCTCACCTCTCAAGTAGTTCTTCAATGGAATGTTCTTCCCTTGGTCATCTCCTTTCATACGTAGCTCAAAATCTCTTTCTCTGGAAGATTTTTCTTCCCTAAATGCTTCTCTAGAACCAGTAACCAAGTACCACTGTCAACACCAAGGCCTTTTGCCCTCTATGTTCTGGGAGTTTTCCATATATGAATGGAGAAGGACCATTTCTGTCTTGTTTCTTGCTGGATCCCCAGTAGAGAGTGGGTTGGTTTCTTAGAGTAGGTTAGTTTGGTTTTGAACTTTATGCATCTGCCAAACTCTAACATAATCAGCTCCAGATCCCCAGAGGAGCACCGAGACTTCTCTTTCTGTAATTCACTAGTTGCTCACTAGAGAACTGGGAAACTTTCTCCTGAGACCCCTATTCTTGGAATCTTGTCCTAGATTCTCTAATCTCAGCCATAATGGCATCCTTGTAGGTACCATAATGGTTAAGAGCACAGGCTTGGCAGCGAGTTAAGTAGCTCAGCAGTAGAGCAGTGCTTAGCTCTGCTAGTGCTTAGGCCCTGGGTTCAACTCTCATCAACAAGAGGGGTGGGCAGCCTCTGAAGCCAGACTGCCTAGCTCCAAGCCCCCATAGCTGGTGTATGATCTTGGACTGCTCATTGGTTTTCTCGTCTGTAAAATGGGAATGCTAACAACTATCTTATAGAGTGGTTGAAAAGAGTTCATGCATGTATTTGAAATGTTTTTGTTTGGTTGGTTGGGATTTTTTTGTTTTGTTTTGTTTTGTTTTTGGTACCGGAGATCGAACTCGGGACCTCGCACTTGTGAGGCAGGCGGTGGAACCATTAAGCTAAATTCCCGGCCCTGGTTTTGGATTTTTGAGACAGGGTCTTGCTATGTAGCTCAGGCTGGCCTTGAACTTGTGGCGATCCTCCTACCCCATCCTAAGTGCTGGAATCACAGGAGGGCGCCACCACGCCGGGCCGTAACTGAAATGTCTATTACTCTAGTCTTCTCAAGCATAAGCACACAACAACGTGTACAACCCGTGATCTGAAAAGCATGTGCACTCCAGTGTCTCATTCAAAGAATCTCGCCCTATGAGGCAGCTTTCTTATAAAAGTGAGAGCTGAGGCCGAGAGTGATTTATCCGAGGTCCCGGGCCACCCCCGACCAAACTCGCTCGAAACCCGTTTCCCATCCCCTCCTGCCCTCTCTCCGGCAGCCCAAACGGGGACGGCCTCTTCGTTGGGTAATGCGGATTACCTGGACGGCAGGGAGCAGACGAGGGACGGGTGCAGTAAAGGCCGGGGGCGCCAGGCTCAGAGAGCCCAGAGCACGGGTCAGAGACCACAGGGACATGGGCGTGGAAAAAGTCCTCAGAGCTCAGCGCAATACTCCTAACACTAGCCAGGCTGCTCGGCGCTCCTATGTAACGTCACTGCCCTGGCACCGTCTCTTTCCAATGACGTAAAAGAGGCGGACAGAGAACTGGAGGCTGCGCCGGAGAAACGCCCCCGTCCTACCAGAGCGTGTACAGAACCAATCCTCGCGCGACTCTGAGGTCTCGTGACAGAGGAACCTGTCCCGCCCCTGAGAGCCGTCAAAACAATTGCCTCCAGCGGCAGCCATGTTGGATTTAAAGGGGCAGTACCGGCAAAGGCGGCAGCCAGACCAACAGACTGCAGGTGAGTCTTTGAGGGTACCTCTGGGGCCGAGGAATAATCTTGGCAATCTCTTATTCCTGCACTCCCAGATATATGAACAAGCCCTGTCTCCATCGAACCTCACGAAACCCCGATTCAAAACTCCACCCCCCGCGATTCTTCCCCGCCCCCCGACGTCCAGACGGACAGACAGACGGCCCGCCCCGCCCCCTGCACGCGGAGTGGTGTTGACCTCGGGGGGTCTGGTTCTGGCCAGCGAGACAGACCTCGGCCCTCCACCCTCACTCGGTCCCTTAGGCCCCCTTTTGTGTCACCCTGGCCCCACCCTGGGCCCTAGGGCAGGTCCGCAGCCCAAATGCAGGAGACCTGCTGCCCGCGTCCCTAGGACCGAGGCGCTCAGCAGTTCTATTCTTCCCGGGATCAAGAGACCCCTGGGAGGTGATTCCTCTCAGAGCATGTTATAAGCGATAGTGACAGACAAAGCCATGGAGGTAACTGGGCGAGGAGTGACGGGGTCTTCCTCCTCACCCTGTCTCAGACACGCCCCTGGCCCGCAGGTCTCTGATTAAATCTGTGTCTTTCTTCTTGGGAGAAAGTAGATCCCCCAGGCCTTGGGTGGGGAAGGAGGAGGGACATTGGTCGTCTTTGAGGACCTGTAGGCAGGAAGGAGGGTGTTTGTCCTGGGTGGGGCTCTGTGCCAGGTCTTCTGGGTGGCTGAAGTGGCGAGAGAAGGGGTGGGACTGCCGGACTTCTGGACTTTGGGCAGAACAGATCCTCCCGAATCCCTGGCTGGCTGCGGAGTAGAGTTTCCTCCCGGCTGGGCCTGAGTGCTGTAGCCAAGGGCTCTGCTCTGCACACAGGTAAGAGGACTCCAAAGGAGAGGAGCTAGGCCCTTTTGAGGAAGTGGGAAGGCAGCTGGAGTCCTAGGGGCTGGGAAGTATGTCCTGAAGGTTATGGGGAAGAGGACATAGGGTGAAGACCTTGAACCTTCTGGAACTCTCTTCCTCTGGGTACTGTGAGGAAGGCTCCTGTTTTCTTCTTTTCCCTCTCTTCCCTGATTTAACTTTGAAACCTATTCTTTTATTTTGTGGATATCTCCTGTCTACTTTAACCCTGTTCCCTTTGCAGCTCTCCCAAAATTTCTGTATAAGCTCTGTAGTGCTCTGACCCCCTGCTTCCTTTCCCTCACCCAAATTCTCCCCTTCCTGTCTGTTTTGTTCCTAAGTCCTCAATCCCTCTGCTAGCACCTTTGCTCCTTCAATGGACTTTCCTCCTTCAAGTCAGTTCCTCTCCTTCATCTTAGCTTTGCATTTGGTTTATAGCCTCCCTCCCTACTTCTCTGTCTGTCTGTCTCTCTGTCTCACTGAGCCACAGGGTCACCCATAATTTTGTCCCTTCACCTGGATCTCCTCAAACCAAGATGCTCAGCCTCTCTGGCTCATCTTTACTCAAGTTGAACTCTTGTTGTTTTTCCCCAGCCCTGGCGAGGTTCCCCCATCCAAGATGTCGGGCCTGGTGCTGGGGCAACGGGATGAGCCCGCAGGTCACCGGCTCAGCCAAGAGGAGATCTTGGGGAGCACCCGGCTGGTGAGCCAAGGGCTGGAGGCCCTACACAGTGAGCACCAGGCCGTGCTGCAAAGCCTGTCCCACACCATTGAGTGTCTGCAGCAGGGAGGCCACGAGGAAGGGCTGGTGCATGAGAAGGCCCGCCAGCTGCGCCGTTCTATGGAAAACATTGAGCTGGGGCTGAGTGAGGCCCAGGTGAGAGAGGAGGGCAGTTCCAGATGGTCCAGAGTACATGGAGGAGCAGCTTTCTTGATTGGAGGTTCAAGGTTGTTGGGAATCACCTTGTCCTATATGCTTGCATTCAGTAAATGCCTATTAAGTCTCTATTATGTGCCAGGAACTCCCCTGGGTACTGGGAAAACATCAGCAAATACAGTAATGAAAATCTTTGCCACCCCAGGGCTGATATTCTAGCTGGGAGAGACGCACAGTACACAAATAAGTAAATGACTCAGCATGCCAGAGTGATAGCTGCACACCTATAATCCCAGCTACCTGGGAAGGTGAAGCAGGAAGATCATAAGTTTGAGGCCTGCCTGCACAACTTAGTAAGACTAATGTCTCAGGATAAAAAATAAAAAGGGCTGGGGTTGTAGCTTAGTGGTAAACATGAGACCATGCTTCCATCCCCAATACCAAAAATAAATAAATAAAACAGGGAAGAGCACTGAAAAGGTGATGTTTGAGCAATGTTTGAAGGTGAGAGAATGATTCATGCAGTAAGTAGGGAAACCGTGTCTGAGCAGAGAGGGAGAACAGCAAGTGCAAAGACCTGACTTGGAGCCTGGACAGCAAGGGACCGGTGCAGCTGCAGTAGAGTGGATGAGGGAGAACACAGGAGAAAATCAAGTCTGAGGAATAGTGGAGTTGGGAGAGGGGACAGATGATATGGAACTTGTAGGCCATCAGAGGGACTTCGCTTTTCTTTGAGAGAGATAGAAACAGTTGGAATTTTTTTTGTTGTTGTTGTTGGTATCGGGGATTGAACTCAGGTCCTTGCGCTTGCGCAGCAGGCAGCGAAACCACTGAGCTAAATCCCCGGCCCCAGTTGGAATGTTTTGATGAGCGATGTGGTCTCTTACTGTCATCTGGCTGCCAAGCTGAGAGTAGACTCTAGGGGAATTTGGGAAGAACAGGGAGGCCATCTGGGAGGCTATTATGGTTATTCAGGTGGGAATTGGTGGACTAACCTAGGCTAATGGCAACAGGATGGAGAGAAATTGGATTCAGGGTATATTTGGAGGGGAGAGCTGCTCTGCACTCCTGCCCACTGGCTCCTCTGTGCTCTGTCAGACTGGCCCCCTCCTAGGAGGCTTCCCATCTGCTTGTCCCTGAACACTCCATCCGGAGCTCTGAGCTCACAGGCTGTGCCTATCTAGGTGATGCTGGCCCTTGCCAGCCACCTGAGCACAGTGGAGTCAGAGAAACAGAAGCTGCGGGCTCAGGTGCGGCGGCTGTGCCAGGAGAACCAGTGGCTCCGGGATGAGTTGGCGGGCACGCAGCAGCGTTTGCAGCGCAGCGAACAGGCCGTGGCCCAGCTGGAGGAGGAAAAGAAGCACCTGGAGTTCCTGGGACAGCTGCGGCAGTACGACGAGGATGGACATGGCACGGTGAGCAGGCGCAGGCCTGACAGCTGGGCCCATGATTGGGGGCACTTGCCCCTCATCCTGAGGAGCCGGCAACAGTGCCCAGCCAACCCCACCTGGGAGAGTTCCTTTCCCAGTCCTGACACCAACTCCAGGTGACAGGAAGGGAGGAAGCAGTCTTCACTCATTCAGCCAACATTTAATGTGTGCCAGGCACTGTGTACTGCCCTGGTGAATGGGAAACCCGTGCTTTTTCTAGTGGTCATAGGTTTGTGAGTGGGAAGAGACAAGCACTGTTCACTCCAATCCCAAATCCTGAGTCCTCCAGTCAGATAAAGGATAGCCCAAGTTGAATGAGACCTTCTTGACATTTGCTCTCAAAGTAGGTGAAGTTCAGGGGTCATTGAGCAGCCATTTATGATGTATGTCTCTGTGTGCCTTGTGCAGTGAAACTGTGTACAGGAGATGTAAAGGACCATGAGAGTAGCCAGGCGTGGTGCATGCCTGTAGTCCCTGCAATCGGAGTTGATGGATTTTGAGGGCAAAGAGGCGTTTCCCAGGCTGCACAGCAGGTCCGGGCCAGGGAGAGTGAGGAAGTGATTTGCGTGGCACATGGCAGTGAAGCTGGTAGGAGGTTGGAGAGCTTTATATGAGGCCACATTCCTACTGGGAAAAGCGCATTTTTCCAGCATGGAATGGGATAGACAGAAAAGGCTGGATACCGAGTCCAGAGCAGGCAGGGGCCAATGATGGGCATTAGGCTGAGTTGGACACTTTGGGTACGTGTCAGGAAGTTCAGACACGCTCTCTCCCTCAGGACAGACAGGTCAGACATATAATCAGCGAAAACACACAGGGATCAACACGGGGCTGTAATTGCAGGAGTTGAGCCAGAGGGAGGGAGAGGCTGGACAGCAAGGGTGGTAAGAAAGGGAACATTTTGGGAGTGAAGGAAAGGACAGTCCTAAGATCCTGCCCCAGTTTCTCTGGCTTTTACAAACGAGAGGCCTGAGCTTGGCTGAGCCAGATATGGCCTTTCCCAGGGGCAGAGGCAGGAAAAGTGTCATTTCCCATCTGTCTGAAGAGCCCAGTGGGGCCTGGCATCCTGGTCCTTCCCTTCTAGGAGGACAAGGAAGGTGATGCCACCAAGGACTCCCTGGATGACCTCTTCCCGAATGAGGAGGAGGAGGACCCCAGTAATGGCTGTGAGTCTGCCTTGGGGATGGAGGGAGGTCTTATCATGTAGTTCACTGTCCACTTCCTGTGGAGATGGGGAAGGAGCCAGGCTCCTGCTTTGATTCCTTCTGCCTCCCCCTTCCTCCTCAACATTTATTAAACACTTAATATGTGTCAGGTCCTGGAAAAACAGATGAAAATGATACAGATCGTGATGAACGTGGTGGTGCATGCCTGTAATCCCAGCACTTGGGAGGCTGAGGCAGAAGGTTTGACATGAGTTTTGAGGCCAGCCTGGGTTACATAGTGAGTTCAACATGAGCCTGAGCTACAAAGCCAGATCCTGTCTCAATAAACCCCATAGGGCTGGGGATTTAGCTCAGTGGTTCCGGCGCCTGCCTTGCAAGTGCAAGGTCCTGAGTTCGATCCCCTGTTAAAAAATAAATAAAAAATGAAAAATAAAAAATAAACCCCACAAAAACACACAACAACAGCAACAACAAAAAAGGATTGGAGTGGAGGAGGTGCTTCGAGAGCTTGGTAGGGATGTCAGCTAGATTTGGAGAAGGCTATGGGAAGGGCAGGTGGCGATGGGGAGAGGAGGAGTCCCCTAAGGCTGCTTCTTGTCCCCTCTCCGGGCTGCCTTAGTGTCCAGGGGCCAGGGTGTTGCAGCAGCCCAGCAGGGTGGCTACGAGATCCCCGCAAGGCTTCGGACCCTGCACAACCTTGTGATCCAGTACGCAGCCCAGGGGCGCTACGAGGTGGCTGTGCCGCTCTGCAAGCAGGCACTTGAGGACCTGGAGCGCACATCTGGCCGTGGCCACCCTGACGTCGCCACCATGCTCAACATCTTGGCTTTGGTGTATCGGTGAGCACTGCACTCTCCATTGGCAGAGGACCTCTGTTCCCACTGTGGATCCCTCTGGCTCCTGTGCCCCTCTGTACTAGGTTCTCGCCCCCAGATCCACCCCACTAGGGTGCCTGCTCATGTACCACATGCTCCTTTTTTCCATACACAAGGCCTTGGCCCCAGAGTATGCCCACCTTGTAGGCTCTCTGCTTTTCCTCTCTTCTGGAGAGCGTCTCTGTCCTTCAGCTTCTGTTTCCTGTTTCCCTCCACTCACTCGCGGCTTCCTCTTGGGAGTGCATCCCTCCACAGCCTGCTGGCCAAGTGTCCACAACGCCCTCTAGCTGCCCACAGAGGCTTCTGGTCTCCAGCGGGAGTCCAATCTCTAAATGAACCTCAGTCCTCCCAACAGGAGAGAGAGAAGGAGACAAGGTGGGCACAGAGTTCAGGGTAACTTCTGTCACTTTTGTTCTTTTCCAGGGACCAAAATAAGTACAAGGAAGCTGCCCACCTGCTGAATGACGCCCTCAGCATCCGGGAGAGCACGCTGGGCCGGGACCACCCTGCTGTCAGTATTCCTGGCTCTCCCCATGCCCACATAGCTCTCTTGGCCCCTCTTAGCAATTCCATCTACTACCCTCAGTCCCCTCACTAGGGGTACTTAGGAAGGAGAGATGAGAACACCTTTCTTTTTTGGGGGGATAAGGTCTTACTGTGTAGTCCAGAATGGCCTTGACTTTGTGATCTTCCTGCTTGAGTCTCCTGAGTGCTGGAATTAGAGGTGTGCATCACTGTGCCCAGCTTAGAACTCACTGAGGGCTGATGTCCAGTGAGCCCAATGGGTCTCAATTCTCTGAGACTTAATGACTTTATTTTTTGTACCAGGGATTGAACTCGGGTCCTTGCGCTTGCGAGGCAAGCGGTGCATTAATGACTTTTTCAAATCAATATTTTACTATAATTTAACTCATAGGAAATATATTCTATCTACATATCTGATTGCAAAAAAATGTTAATATTCTTTTTTTTTTTTTTTTTGGTACCGGGGATTGAACTTGGGACTTTGCGCTAGTGAGGCAGGTGTCAGAACCACTAAGCTAAATCCCTGGCCCAAAAATGTTAATATTATGCTCTTATTAATATAAAGGAAAAACATGAAAATCATTCATAACATACAATCAAAAATAATAATATAAAAATAACAGTAGTAGCTATATTGAGTATATTGAATCCTAGAAGACAGAACAAAGTAGTCTGATATACAATAAGTCACTCTGGATTTAGAAGAAGTAAGCCCAGTAAGCCACCTACATAAATAGTCTAGATCAATGAAGGAGCGATTTGGGTACACACCCCATTAAACTCCAGTAAGTAGTCACAGACCAGGTTCATTTGTATATAAGACAAAAAGAGAACCTTAAGTAAGAATGGTATGGCAAGATAAATAAGATCTTTTGAAAATGAGCTTCCTGTATGAACATCATTCCCTGGAAAAGGACATGTGCTAGGGAGCGAAACTGTATCCCAGGATACGCAGCACCTACCTCGATCCTCTACCAAGCAGCAAAGCTTAGGTATCTGAATGTCAGCAGAACATCCTGAAGTTGGCAGGGGTGAGCTATTCCATACATCCAGCACATCTGTAGCGTTTGCCTCCCTGGCAGCAACTATACCCTCGATCTTTATGACAACAAACCTTTTGAAGTTTCTAAAAACCCCCCAGAGGACAACACCACCCTCACAGGCTTCCCCACCTCCAGCCTCTGGTTAGGGTACCCGAGTCCAAGCCTCAGGATGTGCAGGGTGGGAAACCTTAGGATTCTCCACTGTCCCTTGAAGCACCAGTGTCTGATGGGGACAGGCCTCCCTCCCTCTGTAGGTGGCTGCCACACTCAACAATCTGGCTGTGCTGTATGGCAAAAGGGGCAAATACAAGGAGGCAGAGCCACTGTGCCAGCGAGCACTGGAGATTCGAGAGAAGGTAGCTGTTCCCTCTCCCTCTCTTCCCAGTTCCTGGGATTCCCCCACCACGCCTCATTCCTGGCTTGCACTTGCCCCTGGATGTGTTCTCTCAGACTCCTCATCCCTGCCTGGTTCCAGTACTTATGCTTCACATGGCATGCACATAATCACACCTGCTTATCTGTTCCTTTTGCTCCTCAGGTCCTGGGCACTGACCATCCAGATGTGGCAAAGCAGCTGAACAACTTGGCCCTATTGTGCCAAAACCAGGGCAAGTATGAGGCGGTAGAACGCTATTACCAGCGGGCACTGGCCATCTACGAGGGGCAGCTGGGGCCAGACAACCCGAATGTAGCTCGGACCAAGAACAACCTGGTAAGGGAAGAAGGGGCAAGAGATGAAAAGGGGAAAGGCCACCTGGGCCCTGGGGTGGGCCACCTGATGGACCAAATTTGGTCCACTCCATTCATCATCTTGGCACCTGTCTCTGGGTTGCTTTGGGATGAGGTATCCCTGTCTAGCAGGGGAAGTTCCATAGAATCCTAGGAGTTGGGTGGGAAGGACCTTGCAGCTGGAAAGAGATGTGTGAGCAGAGTCCTGGCAATTGGAACTCCCTGCGTCTGGCTAAGACTTGGCCCTTCCATCCCGTGGTGTGTCTGTAGGCTTCCTGTTACCTGAAACAGGGCAAGTACACTGAGGCGGAGACCCTGTACAAGGACATCCTGACCCGAGCCCACGTGCAGGAATTTGGGTCTGTGGATGGTGAGTGTGGGAGGACTTCCTAGGGAGCCGGCCCTGGGGGACTGGGTCCTGGCTCCCCCATACCAAGCAGCTTCCCACCCTACATCTTGTCCCCAGATGACCATAAGCCCATCTGGATGCACGCGGAGGAGCGAGAGGAAATGAGCAGAGTAAGTGGGGGCCCCAAGGCAAGCACAACCTCTGTTGTGCTCCCTGCCGTAGCCCAGCACTCACCTTCCCACCCAGTCCTGATGCAAGGGACCCCCAGCCCACCCCCAGCACCTCTGTCCACTTACCTTGGGCTCCCCCTCCATACAGAGCCGGCACCGAGAGGGCGGCACACCCTATGCCGAGTATGGAGGCTGGTACAAGGCCTGCAAAGTGAGCAGGTGAGCTCCCTGCCTGGAAAGCCCTCATCCAGGCCTTGATCCAAACTCCCCTTGACCTACCTGGGCCTCACCCTGCTCCCTCTCCTGTTTGCTTTCCTTTTTTTGTTTGTTTTTTGAGACATGGTCTCCCTGTGTAGTTCAGGCTGGGCTTGAACCCACTATTTACCCCAGGCTGATCTCCAATTTGTTGGGATCAATCTACCTCAGCCTCCCAAGTGCTGGGATTATAGGTGTGCACCACCACACCCATCTTCCCTCTCTTTCCTGTTTCCTTCTCTGAATCCATTCTCCCTTCCCTGATCTCATCGTGGCAGCCCCACAGTGAACACCACTCTGAGGAACCTTGGAGCTTTGTACAGGCGCCAGGGAAAGCTGGAGGCAGCTGAGACCCTGGAAGAGTGTGCCCTTCGTTCCCGGAAGCAGGTTAGAGGCCCTAGGGGAAGGAGGTGCAGGAAGGACCCTGGGGACAGGACTACTGAGGATCCTTGTGAGTTTCCCAAGGTTGGAGGAGAAGCTGATGAGGAAGGAGGGGAAGGTGAGGCAGCCTGGTGCTGTGGTTGCTGTAAGTGTGCACCTGCCTCCAACTTACCCTTTGGGGTTAGGACACCAGCTTCAAGATCCCCTCTGTAGTGGTTCCGACGCCTGCCTCACAACCGCAAGGTCCGGAGCTTGATCCCCGGTACCCAAAAAAAAAAAAAAAAAAAAAGGTGTGGGCTGGGGATTTAGCTCAGTGATTTTGCTGCCTGCTGTGCAAGCGCAAGGACCCGAGTTCCATCCCCAGTACAAAAAAAAAAAAAATCCCCTCTGTAAACAGGAGTCTGGAGGGAAACCTTCACTTTCCATGGAGGGACATGGGGACATGGGTGGTGTGGGAGCAGGGGCTGAGGTAGAGGTGAGCCCTAAGCCAGGTTCACAAATGGTGGGTCTCGACCCTTGCATGAATCAGGTCATGAAGTCAATTCTGTGTGGACCGTGGTTAGAGATATGCATGCATCCCTAGGCGATGGGCTGGGATTTAGCTCAGTGGCATGGTGCCTGTCTCGAAAGCACAAGGTCTTGAGTTCAATCCCCGGTGGTGGTGGTAGAGGCACAGCGCCCGTCCTGTGGGTTGGATATCACAAGAGGGAAGATGTTTTCCTTGCAGTGGCCAAAGGAGAAAAAGGGGAAGAAGCCCCATCCCTTGGAGTTAGGGAGAATTCCCAGCTTCTTCCTTTTCCTTCCAGGGCACTGACCCTATCAGCCAGACTAAGGTGGCAGAGTTGCTTGGGGAGGGTGACAGCAGGAGGACTTCCCAGGAGGGTGCTGGGGACAGCGTGAAATTTGAGGGAGGTGAAGAGGCTTCTGTGGCTGTGGAGTGGTCAGGGGTAAGTGTGGCCCCATGTCCTGGTCTCTCCTACTGTTTCTGCTGGTGGTGGATAGTGTGGAGCCCACCCCTTAGGACATATGTGGCGCAGGGGGCCCTTGTCCCCATCCAATCAGCTTGTCCCTTCTGGTCTGTTTCTAGGAGCCAGCTTTTGCCAGGGCTATTCTTCTCTTTTCCTTATCTTTTCTTTCTTCCTTGTTTTTTTGGGGGGGAGGGGGTTGTTTGTTTTTAGAGATAGAGTGTCGCTATTATAGTCCAGGTTGGCTTTGAACTCACTATGTAGTCCACACTGCTGATCTCACGGTGATCTTCTGCCTCAGCTTTCTGAGTGCTGGGATTACAGGTGTTCACCCCCACATGGGAATCTGTGTGTGTGTATATGTGTGTTTTTCCTGTACTAAGGATTGAACCCAGGACCTTATACTGACCTCTATACATCCCAAGCTCCCGCCCCCTTTTTTTAATTTTGAGAGAGGGCCTCAAACTTGATCCTCCTGCCTCAGCCACCTGAGTAGCTGGGATTGCAGGCATGCACCACTGAAGGGCTCTTATTTTCAATCACTGGTGGTGGGGGAAGTGCAGAATAAATGGCAGGAATAGGTTCAGAAGCAGTCTGTGCATGATGTGTTTAGCTTCTGTTCCCCATCCTTGTCTGCCAGGATGGCAGTGGGACCCTGCAGAGGAGCGGCTCTCTGGGCAAGATCCGAGATGTGCTCCGCAGAAGCAGCGAGCTCCTGGTGCGGAAGTTGCAGGGGAATGAACCTCGGGCCTCCAGGTACACAGTGGGTTGAACCCCTCTTAGGAAGGACCCTCAGGATACCCGACTCTGGCCCAAAACTCGGGAGAGATGCATGGGAGAGGCCAGTGGGCTGGTTATGGAGAGAGCCTGGGCAGAACAACAGCCCGGGTGGGGATAAAGGGCCCATCCCATTGGGAGATGCTGGTCCCTGATCCAGATAAGAGTGTGTGGGTGCCAGGGGAAGTGGGGAGGCAGTGATCTGACCCTGTGTAGCAGCACCCAAGGGCCCACAGTGCAAGGACCACTTGGGAGAAAGAGGGGTCCTCAGTTCTCCCTTCTCTGTTGTAGCAGCAACATGAAGCGGGCGGCCTCCTTGAACTACCTGAACCAACCCAGCACTGCGCCCCTCCAGGTGAGAGCCTGAGCCCAGCCCATGGGAGTCAGGGAAGAGGGAGGGACCTAGTGGCAGCGGTGAGGATGAACCAGACAGACCACTGCTGGGTGGGTGGGGGGGACCACCAAGGGACAGCTTCAGGCGAGACACAGTAATAGCAAGGAAGTTGAATCAGGAGAAAAACAGGAATTGATGTTCCCTGAACTGGTACTTTGGAAGTATGAATAATTCAAGAATAGCCAGGTGTGGTGGCACATGCCCATAATCTCAGCATGTGGGAGGCTGAGGCAGGAGGGTCACCATGAGGTCGAGGCCAGCCTGGATGATACAGTGCGACCCTGTCTCAAACACCGCCCACCCCCCCAAAAAAAATAGAATTCAAGAACAATTTGGAGATACTAATTGTTCTTTCTCCTGCAGCCACTATACTTCTTCCCTTGGGAACTTAGTAGTCAATGAAAAGGGAAAAAAAGAAAAAATATTAAATAATCCTCACTGGAGAAAACAGTGATGGCACTTTAGTGGCAAATGACCACTTGTCATTGAGAGTATATGCCAGTATCCGTGTGCCTCTTCTGCTAGTTTCTCCTCCACCAAGTTGCGGCCTTCTGGAAACCCTAGGAGGGGCTGACCAGGGCCCAAGTTTGGGGTTAAGGCTGTAGGAACAATCCTGGCTCTGGAGACAGGTGGGGTCTGGTGTGGGTGGACTTCAGGAGGCTGAGGGCCTTGTGTGATAAGGTGGTGGCATCTCTTTCAGGTGTCCCGGGGCCTCAGTGCCAGCACCATGGACCTCTCTTCAAGTAGCTGACGTCCGTCCCCGTCCAGGGCTTCCAGTCCCTCACAGCCCCACAGCATTCCCACTGCTCGGACTGCTCACCCCAGGGTGGGACAGTAACTCAAAGCCTGCTGCTGCCTGCAGGGTCTTGGCCCCTCCTCAGGAACCCCCTTAGGAAGGACCCTCAGGACACCCCACTCTGGGGTCCTATAGTAGCTCGCTCAGACAAGAAGAGGCTGCTACTGGCCTTGCTGCAGGAGGGTTTGTGGCCAGCCATGCCACCTCATTTTGGCCTCCTTATACCCTGCCCCTGGCCTCCTCCTCCCCTGGGCTGTCTCACTTCAGGTCACGTATTTCACATTTCTTAAATAAAAGAATCAGGTAACCTTTCTGCTGCTGAGTCCTGATTTGAGAGGGTTGTGCCACAGCCTTCCCAAAATGGTGAGGGGTGCTGGGCTCGGTGGCACACTCCTGTAATCCCAGCACTCTGGAGGTTTGAGGCAGGAGGATTGTTGTGAGTTCAAGACGAGCCTGAACTACATGGTGAGACACTGTCTCAAAAAAAAATAAAAATAAAAATAACAAAAAAAATAAGGGTGAGCGTCTGTGATGATGGGGTAATAGGCGGGGTGCTAGTTCCTGGCTCTCTCCATTACTCCGTTTCCTCCCCAGTGGGGCCTGGAGGAGGCTTCTGGGGGATGGGGAAGGAGGCCCACATCCCAGAGGGAAGGTGCTGTGGGCTGGGTTGTCAGGGACATGTGGTGGCCATGTGGCAGGACCCTGGAGTCCTGGCGCCACTTCTGCCTGTGAGGCCCTCTGTGGCTGCCCCTCCTCCCCCAGCTGCTAGGGGAGGGAGGTCTACCAGGCCTGGGGGCCCCTCTGGGCTGGAGGGGGGACAAGGCCCTATCCATCCCCTCCGTGTGTCCCAGAGGCCTGAGCAGCAGCTGGGGCCCATCTTCAAGGCTTGACTCCTCCTGACCCGCCTCCTACACCCCTTGCTGCTTTCACAACAAAGAAAGAATGTGGGGGTGGTGGCGCTGGGGGTGGAGGGTGCCTGGAACCGGGGCTGTGCTGGGCCTCCCGCAGCTGGAGACTTGGCCTTGCCCTGCGATGCCCCAGACGCCTGGAGACGGACTTGGGCTGAATTTGCCTGTTAAGAAGCCTTTGGCTTGGTGTTCCGAGCCCTGTAGGTTTCTACCTTTGGCTTCAGATTGGTCCCGAACCAAGCCAGACTCCAGCCATGCCCTCCTCTTCATCGCTCCATCCGTCCTGGGGCCCCACAGTAGCTCCAGGTGACTCTATTTGGGGATACCAAAGACACCCTGGGGCTAGGTCTCCCTCAGGATTTTGAGTTCCTTCTCCCCACTTGGAGAATTCTGGTGAAGCCGTGGGTCACAGTCTCCAGACAGGACCAGAACTGACCACGTACCCGAGGGGCCCTGGAACCCCAAAAGTTACTGGTTGCAGACGAAGCGATGGGTGTACAGGGCGCACGCCCCCACCTCGTTCAGGTCCCTCCGCTCCCGGTCCGATTCCCTTGATCCCAGTCCCGCTCCAGACCCCTCCCTCGGCCGCGAGCTCCTCCCCGCCACGCCGGGCAGGGGGCGTCGGAAGGCGGGGCGCCGTGCGGCAGCGGCGGGGAGGGGGCGTCGGGGGCGGGGCCTGGCGTTGGCGGCCGCGGCGGCGCGCGAGGGCTCTGAGGTGCCGGGCGCGCGCGGTTCCTGCTCCGGCTCCGGCTCCGGCTCCGGCTCCGGCTCCCGCTCGCCTCTCGCTCGGGCTCCAGCTCTGGACGCCTTGGCTCCGTACGGCCGTGCACAGCCATCGGGGCCGCCACGGAGCGCACAGCGCGCGCGCCAGCCGTGCGCCCCCGCCGTGCCCAACCGCCGCGATGGGACCTGCGGCCGGGCTGCCCCTGCTCGGTGTCCTGTTGCTCCTGGTGCTGGGCGGTGAGTCTCGGGGAGCCAGCTGGGGCGCGCGGAGTCCTAGAGAAGGCGCTGGGCGTGGGGGCGGCAGGGTGCCTGCACTCGGTAGGGTCCCCGGGGCGCGCGTCGCCAGCTCCAGAGTTGGCCCGGCCCGGCAGTTTGCTCGGAGCCACTGGAGTCGCGGGCTTCGGGCCCTGCTGGGGAGTTTCTTTGAGGGGAGAAGGGACCCCCTCTGCCGGGTGCGGTTGGGTGGCCGCGGCGGGGGCACGGGGTGCCACGCAGGCTCAATCCAGGTGAGGGGCCGCGCCCGGGTCCCCTCCCGCGGGGTCCTGGTCAAAGCTGAGACCCCAGATGGCCCCGCCAGTGAGGGCGGAGGACGGAAGAATAAGAATCTGCTCGAGCCGTGAGCCCTGTCGATGCCAGGAGTGGAATCTGGGGAGCGGAGGTCCCAGGCTGTCGTGGTGACTAATGTGGAAGGGCCGCTGCCAAAATCGGGCATGGCCGGCCTGCCAAGGTGCGGACGGGGTTCCTGAGCCTTCCTGGATTTCCACTCTGTGTCGGAGAGGACAGGAAACCTACCTTCCTCGGTCAGAAAGAGGAGAAGGGCTCTTCCAGGCGCTCTGTGGGGTTTCGGGGTCTCGACCAGGGTGTGGTTCTCATCTGGGGCAGACAGGACACCCTCACCCACCCTTGTCCCCCAGCTTTTTTTTTTTTAATCCGGGTTCAGTCACACCTGAGAGTCACCAGGGAGGGGTGAAGTGGTTTGTAAGAAATCGTCAAGCTCCCCAAAGCCTAGACTGGAAGTCCTGCCCCTCACTTTTCAAGTTAGGAAGAAGTGTTCAGTGGGGGTCCTTGAAGCAACCCTGTCTTGGGGACCTCTACCCCGGGGACCTGTCCTTTGAAGAGTGGCAGTGTTGGCCGGGGATTTAGCTCAGTGGTTCCGGCGCCTACCTCGAAAGCGCAAGGTCCCAAGTTCGATCCCTGGTACCCCCCCCCCCCAAAAGAGTGGCAGTGTCCTTTGAAGAGGGGAGGACTAGGGAACCGTTTTGCTGACTTCTTCCTGCCCTGCCAGCTGTTGAGGGGCTATGGGGCTGGTGGAACGTCTCCTAGCCCCTAGTCAGAAAGGAGAAGCGAATGTTAATTTGGAAAGAAACTCCAGCATTTGCAGGAGGTGTTTCTGGAGTGGCCCTGTGTTTCTTGAGATGTGTGTGGTGCTTATTGCTCATGGCACAATCCACATCTGCTCCCAGAGGAAGCATGGAAGTTTTTTTTTGTTTTTTTTTTCACAGCCAGAATCGGGGCTCAGATCTGCCATATGGTTGAGCAGCAGAGCACATGGGCCTTCTGGGTTGCCTGGGTGGGTTCTACTGTGTGGTTCTGCTCAGCCCTATAGATAGGGCTGCTTGGCTGCTGCTGTTTGGAGTTCTGCAATTTAGCGGAGATTCTGGTGAAGTCTTGTTCAACAGATGCCAAATTCCTTCCATGAGAAGATGCCTGTGAGGTTAATCGATGTTAATCCGGGGATGGGTGCTGGTGGATTGTGAGGGGAAAGTCAGGCAGGCTGAGGGCTTGGAATCTCTTCTGGGGGCAGGGGTTGTCTTGTGCTCAACAAAGGAACATTTTAATGAGAGCGTTAAATCAGTCCCACCAAATGTGCTTTGGTGTGTCCGTGTGCTGTAAACAGTTTCAGACGAGGCTGAGGCGCCTGCTGTCTTGCAGTGAAAGCCCAGGTCTCTGCCCACCCCACATGCATGACTTTAGGGGGCTACGATTTTTTAATGAATCAGTCTAGATTTTTTCCATCTCATTGTTTAACCTCTGACTAACTGGAGTTGTAGTTAAATCTCGCTGTTAGTAAGGCTGGAGTTAGGGACTTAGGGACCTAGACTGGCCAGGTTTGTGGATTGGACCATTTTGAAGTTTGGGTAATTATACTGTAAATGGCTGAGTTACTTTCCAAACTTTGAGATCCCTGCTGTGATAAATACGGTCATGTGGAGGAGGAAAAGGCTTGATGTTTGAAACCTGGGATTCTTTTTGGTACTGGGGATCGAACTCAGGACCTTGCACTTGCGAGGCAGGCAGTGGAACCACTGAGCTGAATCCCCGGCCCGGAAACCTGGGATTCTCAATGCCAACCCAGCATGGTTAGCTGTGGTCGCTACACATCCCTGTTCCCATCCCTCTCCCTGGGTTCTGACCTTCAGGCTTTTGTTTCTTTGGGGAAGTTAGGTTGTCACATTCTGGGATGTGCTGTCCCGATTTTCCTAAGCTCAGCAGGCTGTAATTCAGGTAGGGGGCTTGCTTTTATTGGTGGTGGGCAGGGATGATACCCACATGACTTCCGGAGCATACAGGCAGCCTGGCTATTCCACGCTGCAGTGGGTGGTGGACTTCAGGCTTGGAGATAAAATACTTGGCAAAGGCATCCTGAACTCATCGGCAGGCCCTGTGGCCTGGGCACATGTTGACCTTCCTGGTTTGTTTCCCCTGAAAGGTGCTAACTTCTTGGTGCCCTGCTGGGTGTCCCTGGGGATATACCCTAGGCTCTGAGCCTCCCCTCTCTCTCTTTTGTCCACCCCTGAAGCTGTCCTCTTTTCTCCTGCCACAAAGTGGGCACCTGTAGGGCTTCTGGACTGTCATTCTTAGGACATCTTCCATATTTTCCTGCAGATGGGCTTGGACTTACTGAAGGCTTTTCCCTAGAGAAATCAGTACAATACCTTGTATATGATGGGTCATAGTCTAGGTTGAGAACAAAAATGGCATGAACCTTTTGGGGAAAGTTAAACCTCCCCTTTGTGTCTTAGGTATATGGAGTCTTTTGTTTGTTTGTCTCTTGAGGCAGGGTCTTGCTCTGTAGCCGCTCTGGCCTTGAGCTCACTAGTTGCCCAGGCTGCCTTTGAACTCTTGATCCTTCTGCCTTAGCTTCCAGATGCTGGGATTACAGGCGTGTGTGCCACCACACCTTGCCTGCATATGGAATGTGCCCTGTCCAGATTCCCTGAGTTGGGGCCTCCTGGTTTGCCTTCTGGTGGCTGCTCCATCAGGACAAAATCCAAGGCTCAGACCCTCTTCTGTTTCTGGGCTGTTGGTTCTTGATGGTGGATTTTCTCAAGTTTGATATGGCAGAGCTTCCCGGTAGCCACCAGGGAGTGTGAAGTTGACTTGCCTTGAAAGGTTGCAGCTAAAAAACTAGTGTTGAGGTTCCTTCTCCAGTGAACTGTTTAGGGGCTGCGATTTTCTAATTTTGTTACTCAAAATAAGTCTGAGAGCATGAATCACAGTGACCTGCTTGATAACAGGGTCCCCAGGACACACTACCCGGAGCTTTGGAGGTCCTGGTCTGGGCATCTCTCCTTACGCAGAAACTCATGGCTTAGGGCTTTCCTGTGGCAGCAGTGTCAATCAGGGACTGGACCTTGCACAGTATTTGAAGATTTTTTTTTATTTACTTATTTTGTTTTATTTTATTTTTTGAGACAGGGTCTTACTTATAGTTCAGGCTGGCCTTGAACTCACAGCGATCCTCCTGCCTCAGCCTCCAGAGTGGTGGGATTATAGGAGTGCACCAGCATGCTCAGTTTAAGATTTTCTTTAAATAACTTATTTCATGTGAACACTTCTTTTTTTTTTTGGTACTGGGGATCAAACTTGGGACCTTGCGCTTGCGAGGCAGGTGCTGCATGTGAACACTTTTTGATGTGATATGTATATTTTTAAATGACCTCACTTTGGGTTTAATTTGAATTAGATTTTGTTAAGAAACTTGCGGACTAAATGTGTAACTCCAGGAGATTCATGTGTGAGATTCAATGTGATGTTTAGTTCCTCTTGGAGCCCAAGCTTTTCCAAGATGAACATATGTCTCCTTTTTATAAGGAAAACCATGGAGAAAATGCATGTATTTGGTCGGAGGGTAACTTTTCAGGAGGGATCCTCTGGTTTTTAAAGGGAGGGCTGTTGAGCTGGGCGCGGTGGCGCACACCTGTGATCCCAGTATTTGAGAGGCGGAGGGAGGCAAGAGGACTGCTGGAAGTTTGTGGCCAGCCTGGGTTACATAATGAGTTAAAGGCCAGCCTAAACTATGTAGGGAGATCCTGTCTCAAAAACAAACAAAACAAAAACACAAACAAACAAAAAACAACCCAACAAAACAAAGAAAGGCATGTTTCCTTGGGCTTCAACAGTTGTGTTGTTCTTCGGAGCACCGTGTAAGCTGGTTATGAGGGGGTTCGTGCTGAAGCCAGTGCAGCTTGTGTGAGACCCATCTGGGATGGAGGTTTGCCAGTTCAGCCTTTTGATATTCGAGCCAAGAGCCGTTGGGGGCCAGGGACTCAGTCTTTGGTGTTTTCCTGGTGGGATAAAGGGTCAGTAAGCAGGGTTGGGTGTTCTTGGCCTGCGTGCCTCAACTAGCCTCAGTAGTGCACTGCTCTGCCTTACCCAGGTGGGGTCACGGGCCTGGGCCGAGCTGGCTGGTGCAGGCCCTTGCTTGTCCAGGACTGGCACCTGCCCTGTGCTGTGTCCCTGCTCCGGCCACTGTCCACCTGTCATTTTTCTGAGGTTGGGGAAGCCAGGGTTAGAGCCCTGTCTCAGGTTCTCTGTGATGGCCCTGCAAGCCCCCTGGCGCCTTTGCTGGAGCTGACGAGGGAGCTGGCTGGCTAATCAGTGGTTTGAGGAAGCCCTCTGTAGTGTGTCACTTTTTCCGTCCTCTTTTCCTTTTCTCCTGTGCACTTAGGCCATTTTTCTCCCTGTAAGGCTGCACAGATGGTGTCAGGCAGGGAGGGAGCCTTCCCCTATGTGCTAGCTTCTGGATCCCAGGTTTTATCTCATGTCCCTGTGTGTGGAGACATGAGGAGGTGTCCCTTGAATAGATGCATGGTGGATGGACCATCACCTACTGGGTGTCCCCAGAGCCCAAGCTCCTGTTGAAAGCTGGGTCCTCATTAGCCCTGTCTGGCTTACATGTGCAGGCAACTTCTGGAAACGTCTGGGTTTTGGGGTAGGGATTGTGAGTCATGTGT